TAAACCCTAAACCGTCGGCCCTGAGCCCTCGCCTAGATTCCCGAAGCCTGAAGCACCTAAACCCAAAACCCTCAACCCTAAACCCTACACCCTAAACTACAGACACCTTAACCCTAAACTACAGACACCTAAACCCTAGACGCTCAACCCTAAACACTAAACTACAAACACCTAAACCCTAAACACTCAACCCTAGACCCTAAACCCTAAGCCCTAAACTACAAACGCCTAAACCCTAAATCCTAAACTACAAACCCTACACCCTGCGCAGCTTCAATGAGTCAGTTCCTCGTGATTCTGTTGATGGACAAAATCCTGCATTACCCATTTTAAGGAATATACCATAGTTCCCATAGTTTAGAGTCCTTAGGGTCATGCAGGATTTTGTCCATCAGCAGTTCAGGTCCGCTGCCCGCTTCCGCCCCGACGAGCAGGTGTGCGGGCCTGGATCCTTGAAATGGGATTTCCGGCGTCATGTGCAGGGTTCAGGGTTAGGGTTTAGGGTTTACTTGGAGGGTCGGGGGACTTAGTGACTGGTTATTTTAGGGACTTACAAGTACCATAACCCCAATTAGGGTCCCGTTGTAGGGTACTTATAAGTCTACTTACTACCTACTTACTAAGTCCCCTGACCCTCCAAGGTTGTTTCGGGTGCTGAAGAGGATGTGCTGGTCTTTATTGAGCTGGAGCTTCGATTTTGGGGGCTTCGCTGGCTATTGAGGGATAAACACTACCTCAATCCGAACATAGATCACCCCTATATACATGCTTTTTAGCCTAAAGCCCTATCCCTTTCCAGAATGACGTGCGAACCCTCAACTCTGAAATTGAGATGATGAACAGTTGAAAGCCAGCTGCTTCAACCTTGTTTTTTAGACCGACACTCTCGACCCTAGCACTCCTGACTTTCAACACATTTCGGGAACCCTAAACCCTAAACCCTAAACGCTAAACCCTACCTGTTCTGGTTAGGATCCTCAGAGGATGACATTGAGCCCTCCCCGACAAAAACAAAACAACGTCGCGTCAGGTCTTGGACAGCCCTCAGTTTAAAAGCCTAGAAACCCAGAGAGCCCAAGAATTACCCCTTAACTAAGGAATATAGCTTAAACCATAGTATGAATCCCCTTATTATTTAAGGCATCTTCCTTAATTAAGGGGTATTGAACCCTAAACCCTAAACCCTAAACCCTAAACCCTAAGCCCTAAACCCTAAACCCTAAACCCTAAAACCCGAGGGGATTCGATGGGAGGGTCGGGTCTAGCACGTGTAAAAAAAAAAAACCCTAAACCCTAAACCCTAAACCCTGAAATGGGGTATTGGGCTCTCTGCGAACCCCCTTCACCTTGACCCCTAAACGGGAACTGAGCCCCCCTAAGGCCGAAATCTCCAACACCCCCTACTACACCCCCTACTTCGAGGATCATGGGACTTGGGGTTCCTTAAAGGGCTGCTTTTAAAGGATCCTATAAGGGATCTATGGTTTTTTTGGGTTTAGGGTCTACTTGGAGGCTTAGTAAGTAAGGTCTTAAGTACCCTAATTGGGGTTATAGGCATAGTTACCGTATTTATAACCCTAGTTACTAAGTCCCATGATCCTCCAAGTAGACCCTAAACCCTAAACCCTATAGATCCCTTTAAGGAACCCTATAGATCCCTTTAAGGAGCCCCTTTTTAAGGAACGCCTTCAACCCGCAGGCCTGAATCCCTAAACGCCCTCAGCCCTGAGCCTTATAAGCCCTAAGCCCCAAGCCCCAGACCTTCCAACCCAAACCTCTCAACCCTAAACCCTAAACCCCTAATCCCTAAACCCTAAAGCCTTAAAACCCGAACCCTAAGACCTTAAACCCCGAACCCGTAATGTCCGAAGGCCCTCACATCGGCGCTCACCTCCTGTGGACGAGCCGCGAGGTGGATGCAGGCCGAGTGGAAACCGAATATGGGAGTTTCCGAAAAAAGGGGTACCGTATTTGAGGGTCCTTAAAATTAGGATCCTACTTACTACTTAGGGTATTTTTTTTGGGTCCCCTATTTTCGGAAAGTCCCGTATCCCAGAGAGAAGCAACAAAGCACAATACCTATAAGAATATGTGTACATATACAGTATACATATATGTGTGTATTCCTTTTCGTTGATCTATTCCAATACCATTCTAATCATGAATGTTAACATCGTGTTTAAATTACAACGACGACTACGAGTACGACGACGGCTGCTACTCCTCCTGTCGCTGCTACTCCTCCTGCTGCCGCTACTACTACTAGTACGGCGGCGATGCTGACTTTTCTTATTCTTCTTACTTATGATCATCAGCTACTTTTTTTTATCAAGATTAGCACCAGCATTATCATCTTGTTGCTGCCCTTATGTTGATGGTGACGATGATGTTTTGCGTGGTGACCACTAGATAATATTCTTAATCTCAGTCATCGTTCCTTCTCATGAGTATCATTTGCAACATCATGCTCATGGCCGGCATGATGTCCACGGTTATCAGGACTACTGTGGTTGTCATGGTTGCCATGGGTATCACATTCACCATGGTCATTATGCTTTCGACGGTTTTACATGATTAATTATCCGGGTTACCAGGCTTGCCATCACTACCAGCATTGTCATTCTGAGGTAGGCGGCGATTTCATTATTAGTATTAGCTTGATTATCGCTAGTGTCAGACATCATTAGCATTTATCTTGTCTGTTACCCTCTTTATGACTGTTACCCTTACTTACTCTTACTATTGCTCATACCATGAGCACCAATGTTGCTACTGTAATTTTGTGTTTCCCTTTTTCTCACTGTTATTACTGTTATCTTCTTCTCATGATTATCCTGAATCTCATGCCTATTATGCTTACTCATCATTATCAATATTCTTATCATTTCACATATTTTCATCGCCCTTGTTATCATCAGCATTAGGGGTTTCTTTCTATCAATGTCATTATGGGTTTTCTTGGTGGTGTTCTTTGTCATAGTGGCTCTTGCCAGTATGTGCACCGCCGTTGCTGCTTGTACCACTCTTGTTGATCAAAGCTTCCTGTTGGACTCAAGATTTTGGGGTTAAGGGTTTAGGGCTTAGGGCTTAGGGTTTAGGGTTTAGGGCTTGGGGCCACCGGCAAGAGCGAAGCCCTGAATCAGTAAATGCATGGACAGCCAAGAATAAAGACTGTTACTGCATCCTTACCCAGACCTTCCAAAGCCCCTTACATTAAGGAATATATCGTAAATCTTACTGGGGTTCCTGTTTTTTCCCACCTTTCCCAGAGAGTCCCAAACCCCTTACGTAAGGAATATACATTCGCAGGATCCCTAATATGATTTAAGGTATGTTCCTTAATTACGGGGGTTTGGGAGTCCATGGGTTCTAACATATGAGGCAAAAACACTAAGGCGCTTTAGCCACTAAGCTTCCATGACAGGGTTTAGGGTTAAATTTTAGGGATGAGGGTTTAGGGTTACTCCATTCCCCTTGAAAGTAAGGAACCTTTTCTCAGAAATCCCCAAGAGCGAAACCAATTCAGCTTACAGGCGATGGAGCTTCTGCGCTCCGCGCAGGAAGCCGGCATCCCGAAAGCAGCAATCGCCTGGCGTTTAGGGTTCAGGTTATTGTCCGGCACTGTTGCTACTGTTTCTGCTACTTCCACAAGCGGTGTGGTATGAGCATGTTTCGTGCTTGTTGGTTTGAAGGCTTGTTGTTGGGTGTCGTCAGGGTATTTTGTCCGGTGTTTGGAGGGCTTGCTTAGGGTCCTGGAAGGTCTTTATGGTTTGGGTTTCGGGTTTTGGGATTTACTTAAAAACCCAAACCCTATCTAAACCCGCTTTAGGGTTTCGGGGTTTTGGAGTTCAGGGTTTAGTATTTCCCATCCTGCTTCGCAGCTTGAGTTCCCCATTTTGGTCGATCGCTGGACCCTTTCCGGTTTGTGCTATAGGGTTTAGGGTTTATTGCTTGAGGTGTCGGGTTTAAGGATTTAGGTTTGAGTGTTATGTGAAACCTTAAACACTAAACCCCATAAGCCCTAAACCCTAAAACCTTTTAGGATCAAGAGCCTGCAAAGGTCTGGCTGACAGTCGCTGCCACAACGCTGCGATGGCCGCTCTAGGCCGAGCCTCTCTTTGGCGGCAGGTGCTCGAGCAGCCCCTCGGCGAAGTCTGAGGGTTTGAGGTTTAGGGTTTCGGCGAAGTCTTAGCGTCTTTATGAGATCTTTAGTTTTTTGATTACGGTTTAGGGTTTAGAGTTTCGGGGATTTATGAGATTTTGTTCATTATGGGTGCTTATGTCGGGTTTTGATAGCCAAAGCTTATACGGTCTCATGAGGGTAATACAGTAACCAACAACATTCCTGAGGGTTGCAAGTAACTTATAGCATAATATATCCCAGCAGCTGAAGCAGAAAGATACAAAAATCCAAAACCATTCGGGTGGCCTTGAAACTTCACCCTAAACCCTATAACCCCCATAAACTAAACCCTAAACCTTAAAACCCTAAACCCATAAACTAAACCCTAAACCCTGAACCCCTAGACCCTAAACCCTATCCTCAGCCCCTCCTGGACACTATTCCCTTTTCAGGAACCCAGAGAGCCCAATACCCCTTAATTAGGATGTATAGCTTAAATCATAATGTAAATCTAATTATGATTTTTCAGGTATATTCCTTGATGCATAGAAGCGAGTGCCGAATGATGTTCCGTCTCAAGATCTTTGCAGCCCGGGGTTTAAAGGGTTCATGAACCTCGGCCTGCTTCGGAACATCCTGGGCTTACTTCAGGAAGGTTCCGATTCAAACTGGTGGGGCCTGGCGTGCCCTGGACATTGCAGAGGACCTGGCCTAGGAGGCCTTTTTGCTGCCTTTTTACTGGGGGTTTTGGTTACCTTGGTGGCCTTTGCTTCGTGGTATAACTGCAAATTGGTGGTGGCCCAGGCTCCTGCTCCGGAGCCACCTGCCAGTCGTCCTAGGGCAACGGGGGCGAACAGGAGGCTCGCAGCCTACGCGCATGGACGGTGACCTGCATTTGGAAATAAGTGGTTATAGGATTTCGGTCAGTAAGGCCCCTTCCAAAGCAGCACCCCTCCCTCCATCTTCGGGCCAGTCTTTGGAATCTTCTGCCTCCTCCTTCGAGGTTGTGGATTTCCCAGGCTCTTCCGAGCCTTCGCCTCCCTACTCTTCCTCGGCTGTCTTGCCAGCTCCTTACCCCTTGCAGGCCTCCGGGCCCCGTGCCCCCCTGGACTTGGGTGAGGCTCCGTCTGCTGTTGGGTTGCCTTCTGCACCTTGGCTTTCTCGTGCTTCCTCCCCCGTTTGGGTGCCAGAGTCCCCCTTGCCTGGCCCTCCGAGGCCCACGCCTTCCTCCCGGGCCGGCTCGCCTCCGGTCCAGACCCCTGCTACTCCGAAGCAGGCTGCCAGAACCGGTCCTCAATCCTTGCTTTCCTCACCTTTGCGTGTGCCAGAGTACCCCTTGCAGGGCTCTCCGGAGTCAAGGTCCCAGATCAAGGCCTCCTTTCCTTCGCTGACTGTTGAGCTCCGGGACACGTGCCGGAACCTTCACGGAGGCTCCCTCGACTGGCGATTGAGGGCCTTGACGGCTTGGGAAGCTGGCTGCTGGGCCAGAGCCGTCCTGGATCAGCGGGTCTCTACCCCGAATAGCCTTGGGTCCGTCGGTCTGCCCAACAGGTTGTATTGCATACTCTCCGCAGAGGGTCTCGATAGACCGTGTGTGGTAAGGACTTTTGCGGCCTACAAGTCCGTTGTGGGTGAACTGCGCCCGGGTGGCTCTGTTTCGCACGGCTTCCCTTCCGAGGCTGAGGCCAGGCTCTACTTTGCAGGTGCGCAGCTTGACTTCCCAGCTGCGTGATGGAGTTCAGTGACCTCCCCTCTGTGGAGGCAGGTGGTGTCACCCTGCTGGAGTTTCAATGGCCTTTCCCGGCCGCTCCGGATGCCGACGGCGAGCCACTGACATGCATATCTTATGTGGTTATGAAGCGCCCTGCCGGGTTTATCCTCTGCCTACCTTTGGGATACTTGTCGGAGGAGGAAACGCTTGCAGGGCAGTCCAACGAGGAAGCGGCAGGTATTGGGCCCTCTCTCGAGCTGATGGCCCCGGCTGTCCGTCTCAGCGGCCAAGGAGAGTGGCGTGTGGCCGAGTCTGGGGAGCTTGTGGCCGCTTTGGTGATAGACCTGCCCGCTTCTGTTGTGGGGGCAGGTGTTCCCTTCATGCAGGAGGATCCTGGCCTCTTCCCCCTTGCCTCGGACGTTCTACGCCAAACTCAGGAGTGAGCAGCCGAAGCGCTGGGGCGACCTGAGGTCTGGCTACCAAACGGCGGTCGAGGATCCAGCACCGCGGCGCGCGAAGGTCCCAAACCCCAAGCCCAAACGGCACACCGTGGCCTCCCTTGCCCAAGAGCAGGCGAATCTACAGGAGTTGGTTGGCTTCGCTCTCCTCCTTGCTCCCAGCAGCAGCGGGCGGCAACTCCCTGGCTCAGGGCCCCGCTGTTGCGCCGCCGCCAGGTCTTGTCGCAGGTCAGGTTCCAGGCCCTTCCACACAGGTGCAGGCGTCAGGCTTGGGAGCTCCTCTTGCGTCCGTGCTCCCTCCGTCACAGCATGTCCCAAAGGCCGTCACAGGTCATAGGCCCTCCTCCTCCAGCCCGGCAGGCTCCCAAGACTCCCTCGCCTATGGTCGATCACGAGGAAGCCCTGGCCGTTACCATTGGTGCAGGCGACGCCGAGCCTGAGGTTCCCTCGACCCTCGCATCTGCGGTGCTGGCCCAATCTCAGGCCCTGGTCAGCCTCGTCTCCCAGCTTGCTCAGAACTCTTCGGATCCTTTGCTGGATGCCCCCTCGGCCACTTCGGTCAGAGGAGCAGCCGGCCGACAGCGGCTGCAACAGGAGCTTCAGGCCTCGCCGGAGGTTTTTTCGAGGAGGATCCGCCAGAACGCTTGGCTTTGGATGGACCCCTCAGGCATGGTGGCTCCCGATTCACCCACCATGATCAGGTATCTGGAAAGGTACGGTGCTTTTTCGAAGCAGCGGAATCTGGCCCTGCTGGCTTGGATGACGGCGACGGCTGGCGACCAGCTTGCCCGTGGGTCCCCGGAGTCGGCCGCGGACACACTGGCCCTGCTTCAAATGGTCCTCGACCAGGCAAACCTCGACGGAGGAGACTTTACCTTTGCGTGGGTGCTACTCCAGCCCGACTTGCCGGCCAGTGTTTTCCAAGACGTGTCTGGGTCAGCCGGCCCGGCTGCCAGGGCTTTCTCTCCCCTGGCGGAACAGAAGTGGGTCACGATATGCCTCTCCTACATGAAAGAAGTGGAGGCCATCGCGACCCGGAGGGCCGAGCTGCAGCCGCCGCGCAAGCACCCTCAGCCACCGCATGTGCCGCCGGAGGTCCCAAAGGTCCCCCCGAAGGCCGACCAGGAAGCTTTGACCAAGAAGCAAGCGCGCGGCAGCCTGGGCCGCAAAGCGCGCGGCCGCAAGCAAATGACTTCCTGCGGGGGCGTGGCTGCTGACACGCCCTCGCCCGTGCATGCCAACCACCCGGTTGAAGATTCGCCTTTCCTGCCGGGCCGTGAATTCAACTTTTGCCTTTGGTCTTCTTCTTTGGTCAGACTGGTCCTGAAAAGTGGGACCGCTTTCGGCCATTTCCTGAGTACCACACTGCCCCTGTGCCGCGATCCCAATTTGGAGGTCGCTACCGCCTTGTTCCCGCTTCCGCTGCCGGCCGACGGCCTGTTCTTGAAGCGGTCCCGCAAGCGCTCGCAGAAGCGCAGGCTGCCCTACCTGGTTCGGGTTGCCCACCATGTGCTGGTGATGTCTCTGAATTTCCTCCACTCCGGGGGGAAGCACATACCGCCAGCATCTTGCCTCCCTCAGAGCTGCAAGCCTCAGCTTTGCACCGTCTGATGGAGCTTGTGAAGGCGTGTGCCCGCTTGCGGGGTTCTACTCTCACGTCGGGCCGTCGAGGCATCCAGCTTGCTGCCCGCCATGCTGAAGTGCTTCACTTCTTGAGGGCCGCAGGCCTGGATGAGAACTGCTACTTTGGGAAAGTAGGGCGTGCTGCCTCCGTGCCTGAGTTTGGGGCCCCGCTTGTGCCTCACCTTCCTGGTAGCCCTGAGGAGCTGGCTCCCTACAGGGATTTAGATTCAGGCCGCATTGCGCTGTCGGGCACTGGCTCCTGGCCGCTCGAGGAGCACCTGGGCCCCGACCTCCTGATGCTGTACTTGGAGCCCCGGGCCCTCCGCTCCTTTGTCCCTTCTCCGGCGCCTGGCCCCAGTTTCGAGCACGAGTCTAGGAACCAGACCCTTGGGCTTTTCAGGAAGTGGGATGCCCTAGGGCTCTTAGGCATTGTGCAGGGCCCTTTGCATACCACCGACCTCGTGCGCATCTTCGGGGCCTACAAAGACCCTGGAAGGGACAGACAGATCGGCGACCGCCGAAATGTGAATAACAAGGAAGCCCGGATTGTGGGAGGTCCGTCCTCCCGGCTTCCAGCCGGCAGCCTTCTCACTCGGCTTTCGTGCCCCCTCCCGTCGTGTGCCCTCTTTGGGTCCTGTGTCGACCGCCAGGATTTTTACCACCAGGCAAAGGTCAGTGAGAGCAGGGGCTGCTCGAATGCCATTGGGCCGGTCTTCTCCCTGCGACAGTTCTACGGGACCCACGCATATGCTGCTTTCTTGGCTAAGGCCGAAGACGCCCTCCGTTCACACGCTGGTGCCTGCTCCGTTTTCCAGCCGGCTTCCGTTCTTGCGTCTGCTGACCTCCCGGTGCATGGCACCTTTCTGAGTCTGCTGCAAGGCGACCACGCCGGCGTGGAATTTGCCTGTGCGGGGCATGAGGGTCTTCTTCGATCTTGTGGCGTGCTCGGGGACCCTGCCCAAGGAAGGCTCCTGAATCGGTGCCCAGTTGCCTGCCGCGGCCCCTGGACTGGTCTCATCATAGATGACCTCTTCTGCATTTCCTGTGAAAGGAGCCCTGGCCTTGACAGCCCTGCTGCCACCGGCACCTCTGAGAGTGAACGCCTGTTGAGGGCTGCAAAGGAGGCCTACGAGCGTGAAGGAGTGCCCGGCTCCGACCACAAGGATCAATTCAGCCAGAGGGTCTTTGTCATTGCAGGTGCCCAGGTTGACAGCTCTCCCGAGACAAATGCTGCCGGGATGACTTTGGTTGGCCTGCCTGCTGCCCGTCGCCTTGCCCTCTCCCAGGCCTCGCTTATTATAGCCTCTGGCTCTGTTGCTGCGCATCTTTGGCAGACTGCTGACCAGAGGGGTTGGTACACCCGCCTTGGTGCGGAGGTCTCTGAAGAGCCCCCCTCTTTTGAGGACAGCCCGGGCGTGGAAAGGCCGGTTGCCTGCAGGTATGATTTTATCGAGGTCAGGTGTGGTGGGCCGTGGCTCACTGAATTCTTGAGTGCCAGCTGCTCCGTTGGTCCCGTTGTGGATTTCCGGGCCTCCCCTTACTTTTCCCTTCTCGAGCCTCGCTGCTTGGAGTGGCTCCTCTTCATGCTGCAAGACGACAGGCTGAGGTCTGTCTTGTTGGTGCCTCCTGTTGGCTCCTTCTCCCCGGCCTTCTTGCCTCGCGTCCGCGCCTGGGATCCGCCTCGTGTCAGGGTCCTTTCAGGTCGTACTCAGCTTGAGGATGCCCTTCTCCGTGCGGCTCTCTGTGTGCTTCTCGTTGCTACCAGGTGCAACGCCGTTGCTATCGTCCTCCACCCTTTGCAGAGCTTTGCTCGTGGCACTCCTGAGTGGAGGAACCTTTGCACGCGCAGGGGAGCTTTCGAGGCGACTTTACCTGGCTGTGATGCTTTTTCCACGGCCCCTCAGCCTGCTGTTGCCTTGGTTTCGGCGGCTGGGCGTCCTGAACTCGCTTGTGCTCTGTCTTCCCTTCCAGTTCGTCGGGGCACCTCCTGTGCCGGCCCTTTGGCTGCTGCCTTGCGGGCCACCTTGTGCTGCCGGCCCACTGAAGCCGAGCCCAAAACCGGTCTGGAGAGCCTGCTCTTCAACGACGTTATGCTTACGTCGTCTTGGCATGTCACTCGCTCCTGGGCTTGGCGGGACAGGCCTCATATCAATGTGCTGGAGGCCCGTTCCTTCATCTGTGCTCTCCGTGACAGGGCAGCTGGCGGCCGGGATTGCCGGTTTGTCCATGGCCTGGACTCTTATGTTTCCTTTGGGCGCCCTTACTAAAGGGAGAACTTCCTCCATCCGTCTCCTGCCCCTGGTCAAACAGTCCGCTGCGATCCAAGCTGCCTTTGGCCTTTATCCCGGCCTGCACTTTTGCCCTACCAGGTTGAACACTTCCGATGACCCGACTAGGAGCGTTGCTCTCCGTTCTAGTTGCCCGGCCTCCCTTTCCTCAGGCCTCTCAGACTCCTCCTTGTATGAGCTCAGCTGCCTCCTTGGACTTTCCAGGCCTTCTGCTGGTTGGCTCCGCCTTGTCCTTCTCTACTCACGCTTTCGTGCCAGGGGTTGCTGCGGTTCCCTAATTAGGTCCCTCACCCTTAAGCATAGACGCGTGTTTCCGGCTTCCGGTCTTCAGAAGCCTAGCGGCCCCGAGCCCGAACTGCTGCGTGACTTTGACAGTACGCTTGGCTACCCTGGAGAAGGACCGGCTGCCCCTCCTGGTGCTGCCGCTGGAAGGCTTTTGCTTGGCCCTCGCGACAAGAGGGACATTGTCCGTGCCAAAGCAAGGCTTGGCACACAACTTGGCGAAGGCCGGCCGGTCCTTGATCGGACCACAAAGAACCGGCAGCAGCTGTTACAAGCTTTTGGTGCCTGGTTGTCTGAGTTTGGGCTCACTTTGGACGGGCTACTGTCGGCAAAACCCCTCGACCCTGAGGTCGTTTCGTCGTGGCTGGTGAGTTACGGGAGACAACTTTTTGAGGCCGGCCGGCCCTACTGGCACTACCGCGGGCAGTTGGTAGGCCAATCCTTTCCAGAACTAGGTCGAAACGGCGTCGCAAAGTCTGCGCGGACTGGGGCCACAAACGGCACGAAGGCTGCAGGTCCGCAAAGGCCAGGTGGGCCAAGGCAACCAGGTCGCTTTGCTCAAGCTTTGCGCTCTGGTGCCTTGCCATCCTCATGCGGGTCTTTGGCTCCTCGATCCGAATAAGGGCAAAAGCCTGCAGAAATAGCACGTCAGACGGCAGGATAAGATCGCTCCTCCTAGCCGAAGTAGCCTCGCCAATCCTTAGCAAGCTCCCCCAGCTGAGGCCAAAAATACCTGCTTCGCGAAGCCAGCCCCAAAAAATACAAACCGACAACATGGCCAGCAGGATCACAGGGGGCATTGCAACGTGATGCGTGCTCGGTTCCTTTGCCATCCAGCTGAAAGCGAGGTCCCAGGCTCCTTGCAAGGTACGCCGCAGAGTCGGCCGGAGAGAGGCTATGCCATTGATCGTCTCGGACCGCGTCGGCCTCTGGATCTTGGCTCCTTCAGGCCAGGTGGCGCAACCTTCCTTATGGGGCAAACAGAAGACAGCGAGCTGGTGCGACGGAGAGGCAGGTGGGCATCACAGCGGGTGATGGAGATTTATATACAGGAGGTCCAGGCTGCCGTATACTTCCCTGCGCTTCCCTTGGAGCTGCGTGAAAAAATCTTGTGCCTCGCACATGCTTTTACGGCGCTTCTGGAACAGGCGTGCGCCTGGAAACGTGTCGGCGTCCCGCCTACCTCCTGGTATGCATTGTTTTCTGCCGGCGAGCGGCCTGTCACTGGCCTATAATGTGTGGGAGCTATGGGAACATTCTTCTTGGATGGCTGTTGAGCCAGATGGTAAATTCCTGGCGGCCCTGCTTTAGCACGGCTTACCTTCCGGCCGAGATCCAGTGGAGTACTTCCAAGCACGGGGCAAAAAGGAGGGGCGAGCTTCTGATGCATAGAAGCGAGTGCCGAATGATGTTCCGTCTCAAGATCTTTGCCTCCCACCCGTCGGCTGCTGGCGGGGAACATTCTTCTTGGATGGCTACTTCCAAGCACGGGGCAAAAAGGAGGGGCGAGCTTCTAATTAAAGGGTATTGGGCTCTCTGCGAACGCATGAGCCTGAAACCTTTTTGCTGCTCGAGGCTCGGTGTTTTGGGTGCTGATGGCACTCTCGTCTCCTGGAACACCGCGATCACCGCTTGCGCCCAGCCCGCCAGCCCCGTTTAGGGCCTTTGGGTTTAGGGTTTAGAGCTTAGAGCTTAGGGGTTAGGGTTTAGGGGCATAGGGTTTGGATATGGTTTGGGATGTGCTCTTATAATCAGAATAGAGTTTTAGGGGGTTCCTTATTATAGCTATAGTATGACATCCTCCAAAACCCTCTGATAATTAGAATAGAGTTTTTCGGGGGTTCCTGAGTATAGTTATAGTATACTATTCCCCAAAGTCCTGATTATAGTTATAGAATGCTATTCCGCAAAATACTTATTCTAGTCATAGTATAGCATTCCCCAAATTCCGTATTATAGTTATAATTTACTATCCCCAAAAGCCTCTTGTAATTATGAAGGCCCCTACACCGCCATGCTTTGATGCTTGTGTTTGGAACTGTTCCTTACAGGAGCCGTTATGAAACAAAGTTGTATACCTCCTTCTCCCTGCCTACTTCAAAGCTCAGGGACGCGTAGTATTGGGAGTCCTGGTACAAGAGCAGTGGGCCAAAGTGCTACGACCCAAGCCTCAAACCCTCAAGAACACAGCAAAAACAAGCTCTTAACCAGCCAAGGCGCCCGACAGCAGAACCCTAATCCTCATGAGACCTTGCAACAAGCCTGGCTGAAGCCCCTCCTTTATACAGCCTTAAACCGAGTAAGGCTCTTTTCAAACCCTTGTAAAACCTCAATAAAGTTGTGAACACCCCAATATAGGGGCTTAAATAATTACCGATACTATTTTGGGGGTTCCTTATCATACGTGTTGTAAAATGGGCCCAAAACCTTATTCTAATTATCAAAGCCACTATATTACTGTATCAAGACCAATTGAAACCTCACTAGACTTTCATCGAGACCTCGGTCAAAAACTTCTAAGCGCCTGCTAAACATCCCAAAGGAATCCCTAAGTCACCGGGCCCTTATCAGATCTCCATAAAACCTATTCTAATTATCTATTAAGGCCCCTATACCATAGAACCGTACCATAGGTCCCTTCTAGACCTCTTCAAGGAACCCTTTAAAGGAACCCCCAACTAGCAAAGGCCCCCACTTGGCTATGAAACCCCATGAAAACTCATCAAGGCCCCTAAAGAATAAGACCCTACACCCCAGAGCCCTCAGAACGAAGACCCTCAGAGCCCCACCCCTAAAGCCTCAAGGCCTAAACCCTAAACCCTAACCCCTAAACCCCTAAACCCTAAACCCCTAAACCCTAAACCCCTAAACCCCTAAAAACCCCCAAACCCTAAACCCCTAAACCCTAAACCCCTAAACCCTAAACCCCCTTAAACCCTAAATCCCTAAACCCTAAACCCTGGCTTGCGAACGCCCGAGGTGCGGAGGCCGCCGAATGGTCTTCGGCTCTGCAGTTGCTCTCGCAGCTCTCATCCCGGTGCCTCGGGCTTCTTAGCAGTCTTTTTTGCTAAAAGAGGTTTAGGGGTTTAGGGTTTAAGTTTAGGGGTTTAGGGTTTAGGGTTTAAGTTCAGGGGTTCAGGAGTTTAGGGTCTAAGTTTAGGGGTTTAGGGGTTAGGGTTTGCAGATTTATGGGTTTAGGGTTTACGAACTTAGGTGTTTAGGATTTACGAACTTAGGGGTTTAGGGTGTAGGGTCTCGGAGTTTAGGCGTTTGTGAATTTAGGGTTCACGGTTTCAGGGGTTCAAGGCTATAAGGGTCCAGGGGTCTAAGAGTGCAAGGTTTTAGGGGTTTAGGGCTCTAGGGTTTACCGCTGTAGGCGTTTGAGGGTTTAGGGTTTACGGCTTTAGGTGTTTGGGGTCTAGCGGCTAGCGTCTAGGGGTTAAGGGTTTCCGGCTTTAGGGGTTTACGCTTTAGGGTCCAGACGTTTAGGGTTTAGGGGCGTGTCCTAAACCCTTCATCAAATTATGGGAGGCCCAAGCCCTTAAGTCATTACCTCAACCCCCAAGGCTGTAAGCTCTGGGGATGGATGTCAGGGGGCGCCCTTAGGGTTTAGAGTGACAGCGACCTTGTCGCAAGATACAGTCCCCGATGCACTATTTCGACGACCCAAGACCCCAAAGCTTAAACCCTAAACCCTAACCCCTGAACCCAAACACCTTGAACCCTAAACCCTAAACCCTGAACCCCAAACCCTAAACGCTAAACCCCAAACCCCAAACCCTAAACTGCCGAGAGCGCCGCTGACCATTTGCATGGACGCTCGAGGCTCCGACCGAGGCCCCCGGCCGAGCGTCTCGACAGGACGGTAAGGGAGGGTAAAGCCTCCCGGTAAACGGGGACGGAAATGACTCGGCTACGCCTCACACAATTCGGACGTCAGTCCGTTATAATGAGGACCCCAAACCCACGACCATTGAGTACCACAGTCTTGTCCTGGCCGCTCGAAAAAGGAACCTGCCCTGCCCTGCCCTGCTGCCCTGCCCTGCCCTGCTGTTGCACTGTGGCCAGGAAGTCTTCCCTGCCCTGCCTTGCCCTGTTGGCTTGCCTTGTTTCCCCCCACTTCGAGCAGCCCTTTCAGGGTGCGAGAGGCGCAAGTTGTTTGTTGGTGGAAAGCCTGGCTTTTCGTCAAGCGGCCGGCACAGGCCGCGAGGACCCACAACCCGACACCAATCCATCTCAGCTGTATGTGTTGAGAAATAGAGTGGTTTATGAGTCGAGCTGCGAAAGGAAGCAGAGAGCAAGATCCTACAGTAAAAGGCGCACCCACCCCGCGCATACTGTTACACACCCTAAACCCCAAACCCTGAACCCTAAACCCTAAACTCTAAGAAGCTCCATAGCCCATGGAATGAACCTCTCGTCTCCGACTCCTAGCCCCTAGGAAACCTTCGTCCGGTTTTCGAGCGGACCGCTTGCCTCCTGGCAGCAAACTGTTTAGGGGTTTAGGGTTTAGGGTTTTTGGGGTTTAGGGTTTAGGGGTTTAGGGTTTAGGGTTTTTGGGGTTTAGGGTTTAGGGTTTAGGGGTTTAGGGTTTAGGGTTTAGGGGTTAGGGGTTTAGGGGTTTAGGGTTTAAGGGTTTAGGGTTTAGGATTTAGTCGTTGCTTCTTCAGGCTCTGAGAGCATCTGATCTGCTGTTTTTGTAGTGTGTTTGAGGGGTCTACTTCCGTGTCCTACAAGTGCTCCATAGGCTGTTTGGAGTTTAGGGAGTCTAGGGTTGAGGACTTAATTCGTTCATGGTTTGTGCTATGATAAATGGTAGGTGGGACGGCAGACTTTTGACCTTCGCTTGATATAGCATGGCAATTTTTTAAAATCAACCCCTAAACCCTAAACCCGACATCTCAAAATCCTAAGCCTGAATCCCGAACCCAAAATCCCTGCAGGTGAGACTGGATCTGCGCCAGATTGTCCCAACACATATTAAGCCCAAAAGAATCCCTAGCCTTAAACCCTAAACCCTTAACCTTAAAACCCTAAACCCTAAAAGCCTTAAGCCAAAAAAAAGACAAACAAACCCTAAGCCCTAAACCATAAAGCTTAAGCCCAGACGAGCGCAGGTCGTTCAATGCTGCCTTGACGTCCTGCCGCAACGCAGGGCGCTGGCGTGAGGCTCCGGCCAGACTCCTAGGTTTGGCGTTTAGGGTTCAGGGTTTAGGATCTTTCTTTTGGGTTTCGGACCTTTGTTCAGGGTATTGGGTCTTTGTTCGGGGATTAGGGTTTAGGCACACGGGTTTTGTGTTTAGCATCTTTGTTTAGGGTTTAGGATTTTTGTTTAGGGTTTAGTGTCTTGGTGCGGGGTTTAGGCTTTTTGTGCAGGGTTCAGGATCTTGTTGAGGGTCTAGGATATTAGTTGAGGTTTAGGGTCTGTGTGCAGGTTTAGGGTCTTTGTTCAAGGGTTAAGGCTCTTTGTTCAGGGTTCAAGGTCGTGGTGCAGGACTTAGGGTCTTTGTTCAGGTTCTAGGGTTTGGGCTCTCTGTTCAGGTCTTAGGGTCTTTGGGGGTTCAGAGGTTAGGATCTTTGCTTAGGGTTTAGGAGTTTAATTAGGATCTTTTTTGTCTCTGTTGAGGGTTTAGAGTCTTTGTGCTCAGGGTTGTTCTTTTGTTCAAGGGGGGATGCGCGCCTTTAGCAATGGACACCTTGCTGTCTCGGGGGGTCTATGCAGGTTACCAGTATTTCTGGGTGTTCCACGTCTTGCTTCTTGGGGCCCTTAGATCTGCAAGGGTTCTTTTCAGGGATCTATAAGGATTGGGTTTGCGCGCACAAGAATCACTTGAGCTCCTGAACCTCGTCCAAGCCAAGAGGGGCGAGCAGAAGCCTGACACCGTCGAGTCGCTATGCAGGGCTGGACTTCGGTTCCAGACTTCTTCACGGAAACTTTATGGAAGATGCTGGACGAGGCTCCGGATATCGGGTGGATCCCCGCAGTCTGCGAGCTTCAGGGGCACATGGGTCTTCGGCACCCGCTGGTGGCATTCTTGCTTCGAGCGAGGCCGGCAGAGATGGAAAAACAGCACAACTACTTTTGCACCTGCAAGGCGCATATACAGATGTATATGCTGCCAGTCAGGCCGTACCTGAGGGTTTCCTGATTTTCTCTCGAGGCGGTTTTGGAAGCTGATTCAAAGGGCGAAGATACCTGCCCCCAAACCCTTGGCCCTAAATCTCAAACCCCTTAACCCTTCACCCTATAATTCCTAAACCCAAGACCGGAACACTTAAAGAAACCCGTAAAGGACCCCTAAACCCTAAACCCCTAAACCCCTAAACCCTGAACCCTAAACCCCTAACCCCTGAACCCTAAACCCTGACCCCCAAATTCGTAAAGGACCCCTAAACCTGACGCGGAGGCCCTGGGTCCCGGGTTGCTGGATGCCCTGGAGCCCTAAACCACTCACCTTTGGTTAGTATAGGGAATGGAAGCATGGTAGTAATAGTAGTTATACTTCTACCCCATTCCTCCCTAAACCCTAAACCCTAAACCCCTAGACCCCTAAGCTCCATTCCCTACTAACCAAAGGTAAGACAAGGCAGCCAACGAACCATAAACCCAAAGCCCTTCCGAAACGCAAAACCCTATATGGGGGTTTCCGAAAATTAGGGGTGCCTTTAAAGGGATCCTTTAAGGGGTTCCTTAAAGGGATCTATAAGGGTTCTATAAGGGGTTTAGGGTTTCCGAAAATTGGGGGTACCTTCTTTTGGGGTTCTTATAATAAGGATTCTACTACAGGTATTTAGGGTATTTTATTAATATTAGGGTCCCCTATTTCGGAAACTTCCATACAAACCTTAAAGGCTAAACCCTCAACCCTAAACCCTAAAGCCTAAGCCCTAAATCCAAAACCCCAAAAACCTCTAAGCCCTACCTTAACCCCACGTGACCTACCTCTTTAAGGACTTATATAAAGAAATCCTATTAGGGAACCCTAAAAAAGGTAGGTTCCTTAGGGTCCAGGTAATTATAGTATCCTTAAGGGAGGGGGCTCCAAGGGGGGTACATAGCCTAGTGATCCCTAACTCTCCCTAGTACTCCCTAAGGTTCCCTTACAGTCCCCTAAGGATTCCTTGTACCCTCCCCCCTTGAACCACCCTCCCTTAAGGATCCTATAAGGTAACGCCCTAAACCCAACACCCCAGACCCGAACTCCAACAAGACGCGAAGACACTCGGCTCTCGGTCGATTTTCCTTTTTTTTCCTAGGCTCCTTTTTAGGGTTTAGATCGGGTTTAGGGTTTTGGGTTTCGGGTTTTGGGTTTCGGGTTTCGTTAGGGTTTGGGGTTTAGGGTTTGTTCAGGGTTTAGTTAGGGTTTAGGGTTTAGGGTTTCGGCCCTTGTTCTTTTTGCGTTTAGGGTTGCGGGTTCAGGTTCCCTGATGAAAACCAATAGTAGGGAAAAAGGATACTTGTATCAGTACAGGGCTACTCAGGAACCTAGTATTTCATCCCTGCATCGATGTTAACAGGGTTCAGGGTCGGGTTGAGGGGTTTAGAGCTTAGGAGTTTAGGGGCTTAGGGGTTTTGGGTGACACTATAAACCTATACGTTTATGTGGAGCCTTGAGTGGATGTTATCACTTATTATGGAGGCTTCTATCTGGGTAGTTCTTTCAATTAAAGTCCCTGGTAAAGTACCTTTGTTCAGGGTGCCGTGCTAATTCGAAGACTTTAAAAAGTTTCTTAATTTTGGGGGACTACCCCTAGGGTACCCTTATACAAAACCCTACAGAAACCCCCTTTGAGGTCCTTTCCAGGAACCCTGAAAAGGGGCCCTAATCTAGAGAACTGTTCCTATGCTTTTGATCCCTGCGCAGGTGCTTCTCCTACTGACGTCCATGGCCGCGGCTGGGCAAGTGCCGGCCGGGGGCCTCAGAGATTGTTGGTCTTACGACATGTTAGTGTACTCCAATAAGCTACTTTTAGCATCATTGTCATTATTGGTAGTACTAGTGTTATCCTTGTCAGTACTGGTATTACTATTGTGGCCATGTTAGTGTACTATAGTAAGATACCATAAGTTACTGTAAGTATTGCTGTTATTATTGTTACTATTCGTGCTATTATTGTGGTGATCACTAGTCATATTGCCAGATATAGTTCTATTTTACACGTAAGATGAGACTGTTATTACTATTGTGAACACAGTCGGGGTTCAGGGTTCCTAAGCCCTAGTCTCATGCCACCGAAAGACATCCCTAAGTAGCTTCGTTTCGGATCCCGCAGGTCCTATTCTCCCTTTGTGTCGGCTCTTCTTGAGGGTAGTATAGGGGCTTACAACATAGACTAGCGTTTGGGTGTGTTCTGTCGTATGGTTATAGTAAGGAAGCCTAAGGAATGGTATTGGTAATTACTGTCGGAGCCTAACAAGTTACCAATGTTCTTCTTTAGGGTTCCTCATTTTGTTGCATGCATCAAGGATCCCCCTTCAATTCAACAAGCGCATCGCTGCTTGAATCCAGGCCAGCGCCCTCCCAAATGCAAAAGCCCACTTTGGAAGCTTGGGATCCCAAACCCCAGCGCCAAACTTAGGACGCCCTATAGTAGTAGCCAGAAAGTTGGAACGTCATTATCCTCATGCCCTTAAGTTAAAGTATAAGGGATCCTAGCACTAATCCTCCTAAAGTAATGTTCCAACTTTCTGGCTTCTACTATAGATCCACCGCATATGCAGAGCTGCAGCTCGGATAACCACATCTAGGGTGGATTGAGCTGTAATTAGTTACGAAGTCCCTTCGTCCTTGATATGGTAGACCCCCTCTGTGTGCGCACATATGGCTTCTTTAACCCCATATAATATGACACCCCGAAGCCGTAACAACATCCGCAACATACCCGCAAAGCCCTATTCTAATGAGCAGGGCCCCGATGTTCCCAACCCTGAACCCTAAACCCCTAAACCCCAAACCCCAAAACCCCAAAACCCCAAAACCCCAAACCCCAAACCGTGGCCTATTCTCCCGACGCTCTTGGAGGTTCATGGGTAGTTATAAGTGGGGTTATAAGTCCCCTAATAGGGTTATAATTATAGCTACCCTACTTATAACCCTACTTTCAACTACCCATGAACCTCCAAGTGAGGATGACTCCACCCTGAACCCTAAACCCCCTGAACCCCTAAACCCTAAACCCCCAAACCCCAAAACCCCAAGCCGTGGCCTAGTCTCCCGACGCTGAGGATGACTCCACCCTGTCCACCGTCACGGCCGCCTGCGAGCGCGCCGGGTTGCCGGAGCTGGGTCTGAGGCCAGCAGAGATTACTATAGGGTTCCTAAAAGGGTTCCTTAAAGGGTCTTAGGGAATTTTTGAAAGGGTTTAGGGTTTAGGGTTTAGGGTTCCTTAAGGGGTTGCTTAAGGTGTCGGGTTGCTTTCATAGGAGGCCAAAAGGGGTTCCCTTTAAAGGGTTCCTATAAGGACTACTATAAGGGTACTATAAGGGATCTATAAGGGTATACTATAAGGGGTTCTATAATGTAGGAGGCCAAAAGGGGTTTTAGCCTAAGGGGGTTTAGTAGGGATTAGGGTTCCCGTAATAGGGTTCATATTAAGGAATCCCCACCCCAAGAATCTTAAACCCCCCCTTTTGGCCTGCCATCAGAGAGTTTCGGGGTTCCATTGGAGGGTCCTTCGGTTGATGGTATAAACCCTGCATTACCCGTAATAAGGAGTACACCATAATTCCCATCGCTTAGGGTCCTTAAGGTAATGCAGGATTTATATATCATCAACAGTTTTAAGGGTTCCTTTGAGGATGCCTTCAATGGTAAAGGATCATGGGACTTAGTAACTGGGGTTATAAATAAGGTAACTATACATATAAGTACTTATAACCCCAGTTAGGGCACCTATAACCTTACTTACTAAGCCCCATGGTCCTCCAAGAAGGGTTCCTTGAAGGGTCTCAGGTTCGATTTCTTTTTTAAAGGGCTGAAGGCGTTTATGGTTTAGGGGTCTTAGGGCTTAGGGATTCCAGAAGAGAGAGGGTGTGTTCGAGATTTAGGGCTCCATTTAAGGGTGCCTTTGTTCAGGGTTCCTGTTAAGGATTCCTTTGAGGGTTCTGTTGAGGGCTCCTTTAAGGGGGTTCCTTTAACGGTCCCTTTAAGGGGCTTTGGGTTTAGGGTTCAGGGTTTAGGGAGTTCCGGAGATTTAGGGTTCAGGGCATACTTGGATTTTAAGAGGCCCTGCTTTTCAGGTCTCCTTGTTAGGATTTCCTTGTATCAGTTTCCTGAAGCCTCAACGAAAAAAGCAAGCCCTAAATCCTACCGCCTATACATGCCTACACCGGAATAATCAATGTAGCATCCCCTGGTAGCCTCTAAATGTGACTAAACTGTCCCCAAGCCCTATTCTAGTTGTTAAGGCCTTAACATTACTAAACCGTGAAACGCTGACCGGTCAACTCTCCACTGAAGCAAACCCCGCCACGGAGTCTCCAAACCTGGACTTGTGGTTTGCGGTTAAGCTTCGGCTTCATTTCTATTACTTGAAGCCCCCCAGCCCTAGAGCTTTAGACTGCCGAGCCCCACGCCCTATCGCGTAAAGCTTAAGCAGAAGCGGAGAGGCTGTTTATGCAGCTCACCCGGGAGGGTGCCTCTGCTGCCGCTCCGGCTCCTGGCCCAAGTGTGGCTATAGGATTGTGATTTCGGGTTTAGGGTTTTGGGGCTTGGGGTTTAGGGTTTAGGGTTTTGGGGCTTGGGGTTTAGGGTTTTGGGGTGTTGTGGTCTAGAGTTCTTTGACTTCTTGAAGTCGCGGCGAGGGTTCGTGTGGCTTTGCAGAGCCATCAGAGCAGCGTTTCAGGGTCGTGGGTTGAGGGCCGATGCCGACGGCGACGACGAGGAGGACTGTTGCAACGACGATGATGGCGACGACAACTGCATCGTTTAGGTACGGCCCCCACTCAGTAATAGTTGAATAATCTTCATAATATAGATATAGTAGGACCTCAATAGTAGCCCTATTATAGACTCTTACTGCATGGGGGCCGTACCTAATGCATCGTTTTTCCAGTAGACATGAAAGCAGCCGGCAAGAGCCTACAAAGCAAACAGAAACGATGTTGTCAAGATCAAGAAGCTGCTCCAATGATGCTCCCAAGCCTAAGCTATCCCTAAACCCTACGCCCTAAACCGATGTTGACTATGAGTGAGGATCTTGGGGTGGGTCGGTCCAATTCGGGTTTAGCCTCAGCTTCCCTTTTTCTCGAGCGCAGCACCATTGCCATGGCAAGCTCTTCCCGTCTCAACCCTCAAAGACCAAGAGGGTCCATTTACACTACTATTATGGAATTAGTCCCCAAAAGCCATAATGGGGCTGGTCTTTTGGGACCTTATTCCACAATGGTAGTATATGTGGACCCACAAAGACCCTTCATTAAGCTCTACAGCCAATCGCCGGCCCTCCCCTGTAATCCTGAACCGAGCAAGCCACAAGCCCCAGACACTCCTCCACCAAAGGACCCTGAGCCCTAAACCCTTTCATTCGCACAAGGCGTACAACGCTGCACTGAAATCTGCTTCTTCTGTGCTGCTCTGGCGCGAGGTGGTGCCAGCGTTTCAGTTGTAGATCTGTTCGGCTTTGCTTCGGTAGGACTGTAGGAGTGGGGGGCTTTAGGGGTTTGGGGTAGATGACATGGTATAGATCTCATATAAAGAGTACTATTTCGGGCTCCGGGCAGTGCGGTCGGGGGCTTTTCGGATTAATGGTTTGGGGTGGGCAGGAGGCGCATTACGGTGCCTGAGTGTGTGTTTTCGACGTGGGTAAGTGCCTGCGAAAGTACTTGTACAGGTATCAGCACGAGTATGCCAGGACCCTCTTTGTACTCTTAAATAGGGGTATATGGGCCCAAATAGTAGGGGATTTAGGGTGTAATAGAGGGTAGATGGGTCTGGGTAAGTAGTCGCACTACGGTGGTACATCTGCAAACCCTCAGCCCTATACCCTAAATTTAAGCCTAAACCCGAAACCCTAAGGCCCTGTGCTGGTCCGTCCGCCTTAATGTTTCGGTCCAAGGTCAGATGCTGGCAACTCTGTAACCAGAGCTTCTGCCAGTTTCGGCCTCCTCTACTGGCGTCCCCGGGAATCCCTGAACCCTAAACTCATCAACTCCTAAACTCCTAAATCCTGAACCCTAAACCCGGGCTGAACCCTGAGCCCTAAACCCTGAACCCTGAGCCCTGAACCCTGAACCCTAAACCCAAAGCCCTTGTGTGCTTAAGCACCCTATACCCTGAAACCCTAAGCCCTAAACCCTATAACCCTGTATATCTTAACCTGCTGACCAGACCCTGCAAGCCCTAAACCCTCTACAGTAGATAGCCTCCAAAACCCTTTAATTAGGGAATATACCTTAAATTGTAATGGGGATCCTTACTATAATTTAAGGTATATTCCCTAATTAAGGGGTTTCGTTGGAGGCTCGGGGAATGTCCTCCTGCATTTTCGGAAAGCCCCGGACGCCGCTTCACATCTACGGCCGATCGTTGCCCAATGATGCAGACGCCGCCGGGCATCGCATAATCTGAACCTAAAACCCTAAACCCTAAACTTCGGCGATTTACTTGGAGGGTCGGGGGACTTAGTAAGTAGTTAGTAAGTATAGACTTATAAGTACCTTAAAAGGGACCCTAATTGGGGTTATGGTACTTATAAGTCCTTAAAATAACCGGTTACTAAGTCCCCCGACCCTCCAAGTAGGAGCCTGACCATAAATGTTGCGGATGTCGGTCCGTTTGGCTTTCGCTTCCCCAGGCCACTCCCATGCTCTTCCCCATGTACACCGTAGCGGCAGATGTGCTGCTGAAGATGACGAGGATCGAGCCCCACGAAATCTTGAAGGCAGCCACACTGTGGAGTCAGGATAGGGGTTTAGTAAGTCGCGTGGTATTAGTAATTAGGGGTTATTACAACATGCCCTGAGTAGTTATCCTCGTTATGACCTTACCTATAAGCCTACTAAGTCCCATGAGCCTTGAAGTTGGCAAGCTGAGAAACACTTGCCTATCACTTCTACGAGAGTTGGACTGCATACTCCTCACATTCATCCCCCCTTTTCTCTCCTTACAGGCTTCCCTCCACAACGTAGGGAAAGGGAACAGAGCTCCAAAGATGTCTGAAGCCTAAACGACTTATTGCTCAGACGTTGCACTTCCTGTCGACAGTTCCTGTAATTCAAGAGGTGTGGGGTGGTTGGGGGTTGCAACTTCTAATTATTTGACAACCACCGAATCTGGAGAGTGGCAAAAAACCTCGGATTTCCGCGACACATCTCTGTACCTGTAGAGGCTGTAGAGGTTTACGTAGGAATTCACAGTCGCCTTAGGGGTTTCGGTTGTGGCGCCCTCATAGGGTTTAGGACATGGAATTGTGAAGGTTTGAGGGCCCTAGCGTCGATTTGGAATTTAGGGCTTCGTGTCGTTTTGAACCTAGGTTTTGGAGTACCATACTTGAATACCTTTTTTGGGTACCGGTTCCTTAAAGGACCCATTATGCAATAAAGTCTATACGTTTTTCTCCCTGGTTACTTCAAAGTCCGTGAAGGCCAGAGGTGAGCTGGTGGTCTTCAGCGACGATTTGGGCAAGGCAGCCTTCGTTTCGCACCAGTGGCTCTCCAAAGACCACCCGGATCCCGATTTCAAGCAAATGCACACGTTACAGAGTGCTTTAAAGCGCATCCTGAACAGCTCCGGATCTGTTTCGCTGGACTTTATTACGGAATCCCTGGTGCAAGCGGTTAAGCCCCTTCCCATGCAGGATTTCCAGGTGCAGACGTTGTATTTCTGGTACGACTATTTCTCCTGTCCACAGCTGGCATGGCAAGGCAACGTGTGCGACGAGACGGAATGCCTCCACCAAGCCAGCGCCATCAGCAGCATACCCAGCTACATAAGTGAGTGCCAATTCTTTTTCGCACTTTGTCCCGTGCTCGAGTGCCCCTTGCAGGGCAAGGTGCTAACAGCGGCGACCTGGAGCAGCCGGGGGTGGTGCCGCCTAGAGCGAGCCGCACGTGAGCTGTCGGCAAACAGCGCTTGGATTCTGATTCAGAGCGATGCCTCCATAGAAGTTGTTGGCACAGCACTGTCCTTTCCGAGCGGCATCGTGGGGGAAGGTGACTTCGGGAAGGTGGAGGATCGGCAGAAGCTCGCGCCGGTGATGCGGCAGATCTTGATCAATAAGCTGCATCGTTGCCTGCGAGAGGGCGACTCGCCCGGTTTCCGGCGCCACTTCAACCTCCAGACGGTTCCTTTGTCATGGTTGGCTAACATTTTACATGTTTAGGGGTACTTAAACCCAATATGAACGAATAAAAGTGTACAATTTTTCATCCTATCCCGACCATGAACTATAGTAAAAGCCAGAAAGTTGGAATATGATTATCCTAACCCTTCTATGGTAAATGATAGGGTATCCTACCAAGAAACCATATTCCAACTTTCTGGAGTTCCCTTTAATCCTAAACCCCAAACCCCATTTGGAGTTATAAGTGTAGTTACCTTATTTATAACCCTAGTTACTAAGTCCCATGATCCTCCAAGTAGACCCTAAACCCTAAACCCTTATAGATCCCTTTTAGAACCTCTTTTAAAAGGAGCCCCTTAAGGAACCCTTTAAGGAACCATGAACTAGGTTCACCTGCGGGGGCTGGTGACCGACCCGGTGCCCGGTCTGCTTCCCAGCCGCGAGGCTCCTGGTGGTGATGCAGTGGCGGAGTTCCTGCACCAGAACCTTTGGAGGTACTTAGAAATAATTGTTGATTTTTGGTTATTATACCCTAAGAAACAACTAAATTTTTGATTTTTGGTTATTATAATCCCTAAGAAACAGCTGAAATTAAAATTTTTGTTAGGGTTCTAAGTTCAGTATAGGAACGGCTTGAGGAGGGTCGGTGAGGCCGACAGCGCGGGGTGGTGGCCTCTGCACTACGCTGCTCTGGGCGGCAACGTAGAGGTGCTGCAGGGCCTGCTGGAGAAGCGCGCCGACGTGAACCGGCGCACAACGAAGGATGAGCCGATGTTGGGCTTTCCGCCTTGGATATCGGCTTTGGATCTGGCCGTGTTCTACAATCACCACCAGGCCATGCAGCTGCTTCTCACTGCAAGAGCTCACCTTGAGGGCGGCGTCGCCCCGGCCGTCTTCCTGGCGTCCACCACGGACAATGCGGAAGCTATCCGGCTCTTGTGCGCAGCGGGTGCCAAGCCACTGGGCCGAAACATCATTGGGCCCACTGTCTTGCAGTGTGCAGCAGGGAATGGAGCCGTAGCAGCTTTGGAGGAGCTGCTGGTGCAGGGTCGCCCAGGTTCGCTCGACCTTTCGCGAGCCCTCTTCGATGCCGCGTCCTTTCGGGGTGGCTCGGCAGAGCTGGTGCAGCGGCTGATTGGTCTTCGTGCCGACGTTGACTTTCAGATGAATGTGGCGCGCGACTTCAGAGCACTGGGCCGGCTGATGTTTGCGGGGAAGTCCTTGCAGTTCCGCCTGGGCCGGGCCACAGCTCTCACGACTTTGGCCTATCATTTGCACGGCAGCACTCCGCTGATGCAGTCCATCAGGTCGGCTCAATTCGAGGCCGCAGCGGCTCTGATTGCGGCCGGCGCCAGACTGGACCTCCGGAATTCCAGGAATTGGACAGCGGCAGACTTTGCCCGTGGTCAGTCGATCCCACACTTTCTTCAGCTGGGCCTGGAGGGAGATCCGTCAGAGTGCCGAAAGCTGTCCTCTCTCGCAACTCTTGACGGCTACGTCGAGGTCCCTTTCTAAATTTTGAATCGCACTTTGCAGAGCATGTGCGACAACGCACTCCCGGACTCCCTGATCTCTCCGACGCCATGAATGTCATCCCTGACTGGTTTTGGACTTCGGGTTTCTCCGGTTTTGGGGGTTTCAGGGTTGAGAGTTTCAGGATTGCATGGAGGTGTATTTGGAATCAGGATCCCAGCGGGGGATGAAACTAGATCTGCAAGATCGAGATGCTTGCAAGAGCCTGAAACACCCAGTAAATCCTAAGATTCCTACGTTGCCCCCCTACATCCTACCACGGTATATCCGAAAACCTGAACCCTAAACCCCACAACCTAAAACTTAAGGATAACGGGTCATCCTCGAGGCCCAATACCATCAATTCCCAGCCATCGCGGACGCTTATATCTAGGAATGGAGTTAGGGTTTAGGGTTTAGAGGGTTTAGGATTTGGGGGGTTTGGGGGTTTGGGAGTTTGTGGTTTCGGAGTTTCGGGCTTTCGGGCAGTACAAGTAGGGCTCTGGATTCAGGCCTCCTGTTTGGGGAGTAACCCGTGCACCCCGAAACACAAACCTCTAGGGCCCAGCTTGAGTCGCTACAGACGCCCCTTTGTAGAAATTCATATTCGATGGGGGGGGGGGGGTAGTTCGTGGTGGTTTTGCAACGAGTGGAAGGTCGGCACCCCTTGTCTGAACATGGCAGCGAGAGCCCCCGAAGAAAGGGGTGTGTTACCGACTGCTCTACAAGACTCGTGAAGTTCTGGAGAACTCATCCCACAACCCGAAACGAGAACAGCCCAGATATCGAACCCTAAATCCTAAACCCTACTTTGCAACATCCTGGAAGGTCTTATCCCTCCTGTCTGAGATGACGTCGAAAGGTCGCACGCATGGGAGCTTCGGGCTTCGACGCTATAGGCCCTAAGCCCCTAAGCTCTTGGGGTTTCGGATTTAGGGAACACTTGAGCCCCGAATTCCCTTGCACCTTGGTTTAAGGAAGCCTTAAACATCCTTAAACCATAAGCCCCCTACACCTTACACCCTTGAATTTTAGTGAATTTTACGGCACACCACGCTCAAGGTTGTGAAAGGTGTGAGTGGCCTAAGCCTGCAAGATGCTCGTAGAGACGACACAGGGTTTAGGATTAAGGGGAACTCCAGAAAGTTGGAATATGGGTTAATGGTAGGATCCCCTATAATTTACCTTAATGGGGTTACGATAATGATATTCCAACTTTCTGGCTTCTACTGTAAGGGGTGTAGGGTTTACGTTCTAGGGATGCAGGGTTTCGAGTTCAGCCCCTTAGCCTTTTTCGGTCGGTGTGGGGTTTAGGTGGTGGTGCGTCGTAGTCGTCGTCGTTGTTGTTGAGGAGAGGCAGCTGCAGCCGCAGCAGAAGCAGGAGCAGGAGCAGGAGGAGGAGGAGGGAGGAGGAGGAGGAGGAGTGGCAGCAGCAGCTGCAGCAGACTTGTGATGGCACAATTGCTGGAGGAGCAGCAGTGGTGATAGCAACATTACTAATTAGGTCAGCCCAAGGGTGGTGGCAGGCACATCGTCATTGACGTAGCAATAGCAACAGTATGAGGGGCGAAGAACTGGAAGCGGTGTTTCTGTCTGCAAAGCTGTCCCCGAGAGCATTCGAACGAAGCTCGAATCTTTGATGCCATTCCAGTATATTGTAATTGTACACCGAGACATCCTTGAAGCCTTGTTGCACAAGGCATTGGAAAACCAGTCAGCTAGCTTCCACACAATCCCAATCCAGAAACTTCAAAACCTAATCTCTAACCCTAAACCCTAAACCTGAACCACAAAGCATGACAGAGCTTTTGTTTTTTCATGGCTAGACGTGGCCCGCTCTCGCCTGGCTTGCCGGGCCCTGCTTCGAGCTTGTGCAGAAAGGCAGGGTTTAGGGTTTTAGGGTGTAGGCTTTGGACTTTTAAGGTTTAGGGCTTTTGGGTTTAGGGTCTAGGGTTTTTGGAGATTGTAACAGGGTTTGAGTCCGAGGTTTTGCTGGGTTTTGTGTTTGCGTTTGCTTTGTGGATGAGCTGGGCTGTGGGCTACGGGCTGTGTGGCTCTGGTTTGTAGAAACTGTACAGGGTTTGGGTCCGGAGTTTTGCCGGGTTTGTGGGATCTTGTCGGGTTTTGCTTACTGCTTTTGCAGTTTAAGTTTTGGATTTGGGGGACGCCTGGCAGATTTTGCTTTTTGCTTCGGTTTTCTGGCTGGGCTGGGCTGGTGGGCTGAGATCTCTTCACGTTAATTTCAGGAAAACTCGAAACTATAAAAAATGAAGTTCAGGTCGAAGCGCAATGCACAATTTCTATGTATCCTGTTCTTGAGAGTTTAGTAGGGGTTACGGTTTAGGGGTTAGGCTTTAGGCTTCTAGTGTTTGGGGTTTTTGTGCAGGAATCATACTTTACATCGATTTGGGAGAATTGTCAGTTTTCCTTATTTTTGAATCTTGAACCCAAATTGTACAGTAGAAGCCAAAAAGTTGGAAACCCCATAGCCTCACTCCTTAAGAGTAATGTATAGGGAATGCTAGCACTATTTGGCCTTAATCCGGTTTCCAACTTTATGGGGTTTACTGTACATGATTTCGGGGACTGACGAAATCGACACCTACCTGTAGGCTTCTACCCGACCCCTTTTTTTAGGTACGTAGTTCTTTAGTTAAGATCTGTTATTTACAAACGTAGGTAACCTAAGAAACGGGTAGAGTATGAGCCTCTAGGTAGTCCAGGGTCAACTTCGCTGTTTCAGCTGGTGGGTCGAACTATTGGCCCGGCGCAGTAGAGGCCACTGTCTGCCGCCTCCGTGCTGCCTTTCTTCCGGGATGCTCTGTCGGAGGTGGGGTGACTGCTGCTAGGGTTCTTAACGGATTTGAGCTTCAGGTCTCAGGGCTTCCGGTTGACGAGTTTAGCCGTTTCGGTTTTGCGTTATGCTGGCTGAGTTTAGAGTGGTTTTACTTCTTTTGGCTTTGGTCGGGATGGTTGCAAAAGTAGCCAAGTTTAGCCCCAAACCCAAATTCCTAAAACCTGTACACCGTAAACCCGGAAAGAAGACTCAACAGACCCTTGCAAGTGCGGCAATATACAAGACAATGTGTTTGCCAAGTTCAAAAGCTTCATCGTTTACCGGCTGCCCTGCTGCCGGCCTCGAATAGGGTTTAAGGTTTAGGGTTTATAGGGTTTAGGGCACGGCAAACATGCGGCGGAATCACGCGAAACACCCAGGTCAGATACCTGAAGCGAAAACAACGACGACGACGACGACCGCTTCGGTCAAGAAAGCAGCTGGGACCGCGAAGCGGAAGGCCAAGACTGGTAAGCCGAAGCAGCTGGTGAGCATCAGCCCGGCTGAGAAGGACAGTTGTGATCAGACCATCCCGGAAAACTTCCGCAGAAATGTCGCCGGGCGCCGCCTCATCGTGAAGACGCTGGACCGGGCATTGGGGTTGGACATGGAAACTACTGCCACCACTGCCACCAACATGACGACTACAACTTCCGCCGCCGGGGCAACGCATGCAAACACTTATCCAAGAACACTCACGCCAAACCCGCAGACCCCTAACCCTGATCCCAAACCCTCCCTAAACCCTAAACCCTCAACCATAAACCCGCAACCCTTGAACCCTTAAGCCCTCAACCCTTGAGCCCTCAACCCTAAACCTAAACCCAAGCGTCCAAATAATCGTATAGTCTCCAAACTCCTAACCCACATAACTACTATCCTAAAGCCACTATCACAAAGCCGAGTACCTGATTATTGGGTCCCCTGGACCCTTGGGGCCATACCTTACAGCAACCCCGAGAGGAACCCTTAAAGGAACCCTAAACACTAACTACCCAGACCCCCGAGAAAAGAATCTAGAAAGTAGATCCCCCAATTTTGGGGCCCTATATTACTAAGGGTACTTTATAGGAACCCCCATTAAGGGATCTACTTTTTGGATCCTCCCGGGGGTCTGGCTAGTGGGGACCCTTAGCCCTTAGCCCTAAACCCTAAATCCTAAACCCTCAACTCTACCATCCCTTTAAAGGAACCCTATGAAACCCTCAGAAAGAAACCCTTAAAGGAACCCTAACAAGCGGGTCCTTCGGACCCTTAGCCCTAAACCCTAAACCCTACCCCCCAAACCCTAAACCGCTAAACCCTAAACCCTAACCCTTTAAAGGAACCCTAAACCCCTTAAAGGAGCCCTAAGCCCTAACCCCTAAAGTCCTTCGGACCCTTAGCCCGTTCGAAGGCCGAGCTGCGGCAGTTTTCCGAGTCCCTGGAGAGGCAGATCCAAAGAGTTCCGGTGCTCCCAAGAGGCGGCTGGGTTGGCGGGTGGGTTTAGGGGTTTATAGAGGGTTTAGCGGTTTAGGGTTTAGGGTTTGGGGGGTTTAGTAATTAGGGGTTTAGGGTTTAGGGGTTTAGGGGTTTAGGGTTTAGGGTTTTGGGGGTTTAGGGTTTAGGGGTTCAGGGTTTAGGGGTTTAGGGTTTAGGGTTTAGGGGTTTAGGGGTTCAGGGGTTTAGGGGTTTAGGTTTTAGGATTCAGGCTTTCCTTCTTAGGGTCGAGGACGAGGCTAGGTTTTCTGGGTCTGGGAGTTCGGGTGTAACTTGATGGGTTTAGGGTTTCGATAGGCATATTTTAGGTTTTAGAGTTAAGGGGTTAGGGGTTTAGGTTTATATGGTACCATTAAGAGGCTGCTTGGGGCGTTTTCGGTTTTGGGGTTTAGGGTTTAGTGCTTTGGGTTAAGGGTTTTGGGTTTAGGTCCCATGAGGCTTTTCGGGGTTTAGGGCTCAGGGTTTTCGGGTTTAAGGGCGTAGGGTTCAGCATTCAGCGGTTCTGGTGGGTGAGGTCGGGTTTAAAGGGTTCAGGTTCAGGGGAGATGCAGTGGGCTCAGGGGCAGGAAGTTATAGTACTTCGGTTGATGATATAAATCCTGCATGACCCTTAATAAGAGAATCTACCATAATTCCCATAGTTTAGGGTCATTAAGGTAATGCAGGATTTATATCATCAACCGTTCCGCCTTTGCATTGTGTGCGACAGCGCAACGAGGAGGATCCCCGGCTTCAGGATTTAGGGTTTTGGGCGTTAGGGTTCAGGGTGTAGGGTGCAGGGTTGAGGGCTTAGGGTTGAGTTTGTGAGGTTTGATGTTCAGACTTTAGCGTTTAGGGCTTTACGGATTTGATGCAGTTCTATGGGTTTCGATGACACGCACGCGCCGCAAAGGTGCCAAGGAGATGTCAGTGTGCCGCACCAGGCAATGCAGTAGGCTTCAAATGAAGACATGCATCATTTCTACAGAGTATACGTACTCGTCTATCGGCCCATTGCTCTCGCTCTTCCTCCTGCTTCAAGCTGGCCTTCTCAAACATTCCGCTTTGCATTGCATAATTGAACATGTACCTTTGCCGTGAGGGAGCGTGCTGCACCTGTAGCCAAGCACCAGCTTGACTGCATTTCTCTGACTTGCATATTCAAACCCATACCCATCAGGCACCATGCAGAATATACCTGATTGGAGCGGAAAGCATGGTTTGTCGGGTATACTGTGCCACGTAACAGAAATCCGGCATCGTCAGCCAAGTTTCTTGCCATGCATTGGGGTTTGAGGGTCTAGCTCGTCGAGTTCAGGGTTTATATAAACTCTAAACCCTAAGCCCGGAGCAATGGTTCGCAGTTGAAGGTTCAGGGCTTAGGGTTTAGGGGTTTAGGGCTGGCCTTGAAGCAGCTTGAACCGTCGAGCAAACCTTCAAGCACTCTCCTCCCTAAAGTATAGGGGCCTTAACATTATGGCTTACGGTATATATTCCTGAATTAAGGGGGTATTGGGATCTCTAGGTTCCCCTAAGGGTCCAAAGGACCCAACCCTCTCAGGTGGGAACTTCTCGCGGTCGATTTCCTGGCGCACGTTTCCATCCCGCGGCCTACAGGAGCCCTGGGGCTCTCACCCTAAACCCCTAACCCCTAAACCCCTAAACCCCTAAACCCCTAAACCCCTAAACCCCTAACCCCTAAAGCCCCTAAACCCCTAAACCCCTAACCCCTAAAGCCCCTAAAGCCCCTAAACCCCTAAACCCCTAAACTCTAAACTCTAAACCCCCCTGAGCCGTGGCAGAGCCGTGGCAGCGTCTTCAGATCGATCAACAATGGAATTGAGCACTGTTCAATGGGTATTTCCGCGCAGACATCGAACCATTTCGTGGAATCCAGATGGGAGTTTCCGAAAATTAGGGGTACCTTACTTTGGGCTCCTTGTAATAAGGATCCTACTACTATTTAGGGTACTAGATCAGGGTCCATTTCGTGGAATCCAGGTCCTCATCTGTTGCCTCTGCTCCTGCGCTCTTCGCTCTGTTCGGATGGGAGCAGCTTTCGCGAAGCTCAAATCTTCTTCGTGTCGTGGTTCGCAGTTCTCGCAGCCACAGAATCTTCGTCTTGTTTTATCGGTCAGCCCTGCACCTGGTTTCTTGTTAGGGGTACTTAGAAATATTTTTTTAATCTTTGGTTATTATAATCCCTAGGAAACAGCTAAAATTACATTTTTTGCTAGGGTTCTAAGTTCAGTATAGTCTTGTTGTGGTACATGAAGGAGACCATATTCGAGATTTTCGTGGAGGTTTACTCAGGAACAGGCTCCTCTGACTTTCAGCATCGGATCTGGGGTTGTAAGTCAGAAGGCAGCTGTTTTTAAGGTACATTCCTTAATTAAGGGTTTAGGGTTTAGGGTTTAGGGTTCAGGGTTTTCAAGGTACCACAGTAAGGAAAGAGCGTTGTTCACTTCTGCACCGCATATTCCTGCTAAGGTAACTCTTAATTACGTTCCGTTCAAGGACGAAACTGCAGTCTCAACAGATGCCAGATGCACTCCCCGACCCTGCAATCACACCCGAAACCCTAAACCCTCAGAGCGCCCAAACATTCGCAGCTGGGTGCAGGGGGATTTGAGGGTGTAAGCAACCAACCTGACCGCGGTACTTCGAAAGTCGTAGGTAGACGTGCAGTGTAGATGGGGCAACTCTACCTATGGGACCTTAAGAAGCCATACAACCTGAGCCCTACAGTAACTTGCTAAACCTCCCGGTCAAGTGCCAGACACGTCTCCCCTAAACCCTACACCCTAAACCCTAAACCCTAACCCCTAAACCCTAAACCCTCTCAAAGGCATCCTCTAATGCGGCAACCCAGTCAAGGAAAACCAAAATGAAGCCAGACAGCAGAATACGCCGTTATTAAGTCATAATATTAATCCCCGTATTATTTAAGGTATATTCCTTAATTAAGGAATATAGCTTAAACCATAATATGAGTCCCCTTAATATTGAAGGTATATTCCTTAATTAAGGAATCAGAATACGAATCCCCTTGTTATATAAGTTATATTCCTGAATTAAGGAATATAGCTTAAACCATAATATGAATCCCCTTACTATTTAAGGTATATTCCACCCAAAAGCCCTAGGAATCTAAGGACTCATATATTAAGGCTTTTGGGCCCAAAGACCATACTATGTAAGGCTTTTGGGCTATTTTGATGCCCAGGGAATTGGAATAGGATATTGGGGGCACCTTCTTAGTATAGTTGCAATAAGGAACCCTGAGGAATAATATTGGTAATTATTTCGGCGTCTGTATTAGGAGGTTTAGGGTATAGGAAACCCAAAAGGAAGCCCAGTCGACTGGCCTTGGGCAGCTGCCAGGAGATCCGCGACCTCGTCCCAGACTTTGATCGCAAGGCTGCGGCGCCTCGGCCAACAGGGTTTGGTTTAGGGATTAGGGCTCAGGTTTAGGGATCCGGGTTTAGGGTTTAGGGATGAAGGTTTAGGGATCATGGTCTAGGGTTTAGGGGTTCGGGCGTGGAATTGGGTTTATGGTCCAATAACCAACATGGCAGCCGGAATCTATGTGAATGTAATCCCAACCTCGCTTCTAATCATCAAGGCAGAAGGCCCCTGTATTGGGAGATATTGGGGATGTTTAGGGTCTTTGTTAGATGCTTCGGCAGTCTTACGCAGTGAAGGGGTTTATGGGTTTAGGGTTTTAGGGTTCAGGGGTTTAGGTTTAGGCAAGGGCGGCGGGTCGAAGGTGTGGAGTTGAAGATCGGGTCTACGGGGGACCCTAAGCCCTAAACCGTGAACCCTAAACCTGAAGCTCTAAACCCTAAACCCTAAACCCCCCAAACCTGAAACTCTAAACCCTAGACCCTATATAAACCCCCTAAACCTGAGACTTTAAACCCTAAACCTGAAATTCTAAACCCTAGACCCTAAACCCCCTAAACCTGAAACTCTAAACCCTAAACCCCCTAAACCTGAAACTCTAAACCCTAATGCCTAAACCCCCCTAAACCTGAAACTCTAAACCCTAAACCCTAAACCCCCCTAAACCTGAAACTCTAAACCTTTGAAGCCCATGAGCAGTCTGAGTGCGCTTTTTGTGCCGGGCTCGGGGGCTTAGGGCATTGGGGAGGGCCTGCCGAGCCCGACCGAAGGGGCCTTCAGAGTTTCAGGAGGGGGTTTAGGGTTTAAGGTTTAGAGTTTTAGGTTTAGGGGGTTTAGGGTTTAGGGTTTAGGGCTTAGCCGCTAGCCTAGAGACCCAAAGCCCCTAAGCCTCAAGCCATAAGCCCTAGGGTTTTTGGTTTCCTGAAGCCCTAGACCCCAACCCTGAACCCAAGCCCTACACGCTTGAGAGATTCATCCTACTCTGAACCCTAAACCCCAATGCCGAGCAGCACCCTTGATACATTCGTCCTACAACTAGATCCACCAAGGACCTGTCGCCGATCTTCAGCGCTGCCGCCGCCCTGGGCGCCAGGGTGGCGGGTCTTAAAGGATTTACAACGGATTTTTGATAAGAGTCCCATTGTCTTTTGATGCACTTTATACGGTGCTTTCTTTTGTAAGGGTCTTGTATAGGCTCTTGCAAGGGGCTTATAGTGGTCTTTGTACGCGTTGTACGGTGGTTTGATCGGGTATGTGCGAATCGGGGGTGACGGTTCTTGAGTACTACAGGGTTTAGAGCTTCAAGGCCAAGGATTTCGGGTTTAGGGTTGGGGGCGTCGTATTTAGGTTTAGGATAGAGGATTGCGGGTTTGGGGTTTAGCGGTTGGGTGATTTGGGATTTAGTGTGTATTGCCATAACTCGTGTGGGTCCTACAACCATAAGCCCAGCATTCACGCAACTGCAATGCATGCTTGCTGACTACAACAGCTTTCTTTCTTCCTAAACCCCGTCACCCCAAACCCTAAACCCGGAACACCAACTCACCCTAAACCCTAAACCCTCTAGTGCATTGGTACAACTACATGAGGAGGTCAGCATCAAGTGTCTCTCAACGTCCAAGCCCAAAGCCATTCTCTTGACCCTGAGCCCTGCGCCCAAAACCTGAGCTATGAGGCTTTTGGTTGCTTTGTTGTCTTGTGTTCCATTGTTGGGTTGTGGAATGTTGTAGGGATAATCTCTCTCTATATATATGTATGTATATATATATAGAGATGTACATATATATCTACACATGTATAGTTACATATCACATAAGCATATATAAACATGTGTATATATATATACATATGTATGATTTCTCTCACTCTCAAAACACATACATAGCAAATACGTACATGCATGCACACATACATACGTTCATTCCTACCTGCATACATACATGCATACATACGTGCATGATTATCTGATTGTTTGTTTTTTTCGCTTGCTTGTTATTTTGTTTGTTTGTTGGTTTGTTGGTTTGTTGGGTTGTTGGGTTGTTTGTTTGCTTGTTTGCTTGTTTGCTTGTATAAATGTTATTGTATGCGCATTTTGATCACCTTCTTAAGGCAATGCAGCTAGAGGAGCCTTCGGCTCAAAAGCCAGCATGAAGAAGCAAACCCTAAACCCTAAACCCTAAACCCTAAACCGCAAGAGCTTATGGGGTTTAGGTTTAGGCTAGGGTTTAGGGTTTGAGCCCTAAACCCGAAACCGGCCCGAAACCCAAAACCCTGAACCCCTAAACCCCTAAACTGCCGAAGTCTAAGCTCTAAGAAAGCCAAGCCCCAAACTTAAGATTCTAAGCCCAAGTATGGTTTCCAACTTCGGGTTTGGAGTTAGGGTTTAGGGTTTAGGGGTTTAGGGTTTAGGGGTTTAGGGTTTAGGGTTTAGTTTAAAGTCCTATGTCCGAAGGCCTGAACCAAGCACCCTCGTCTCCAAAGCCCCAAATCCCAAAGCCTAACGGGACTAAACCCAAAACCGCCCGAAAACGAAGTGCAACTCCGAAATCTTTGGCGACGGCATCGAACGTTTCTACTTGGGCTGCGGTCCAAGTTTTTGGGTTCAGGGTTCAGGGTTTTAGGGTTCAGGGTTTACGGCTTTGTGTGTTTCCTTTTGCCGCCCTGTGTTTGGGGTCCAGGATTTGGGTTGTTTATCGATTGTGGTACGGTCTTCTTATCATAGCTGAATTTTTTCCCTGCATTTTTTCCAGAGAGCACGTTGCAGCCTGCGTGTTTGTTATCGTTCCCCCCTAGACCCCAACCCTCCTACCTGCAGCCCCCCTTAAACCCTAGACCGTAGGACCGCAACCCAAACCCTAAAAACCCGCAACGAAGCTATAAGACCAGATAAAAAACAATTCAGACCACAAGGCTTTTAAAAGGACATAACCCAATTGAAACCTTGTACAAATCAGCGAAAACCCTTTTGCAACCCCCAAAATCCGTGAAACAACAGCAGGCCCAAGAAGCGATAATGTAGAGGCCTTGGTAATTAGAATAGGGCTTTGGGGTGCTATAGCATACCCCCCCCAACCCTGTTCTAATTATACAGGCCCCCATATTATAGGACCCTACTTGGATTCCTCATAGAAACCCTTATAAGGTACCCTTTAAAGGGCCCTATTATAGATCCCTTTCACGGAGACCTTTAAAGGGAACCCTGCTCTAACTTTCAAGGCCCCCAACAAAATAAAAAACAAAGAAACCCTATTAATGGCTATAGATCCCTATTATGGTAACTTAACTAATATCCCTATACCCTTAAGGGAACCCCTGTAGATGCCTTGAAGGACCCCTTGTAGATCCCTTAAAGGAACCCTTGTAGATCCCTTAAAGAGGAAACGTTGTAAATCTCTTAAAGGAACCCCTATCTTGGTGCAGGTTGGCCACCTGGGCTCTGCTGCAGAAGGGCTTGGCACAGAGGACGCAGGTTCTTTAGAAGTTTAGGGTTTAGCGGTTTAGGGTCTAGCGTGTTGGGGTTTAGGGTTTAGCGTTTTGGGGTTTAGGGTTTAGCGTTTTGGGGTTTAGGGTTTAGTGTTTTGGGGTGTAGGGTTTAGCGTTTTGGGGTTTAGGGTTTAGCGTTTTGGGGTTTAGCATTTTTGGGTTTAGGGTAAAGCGTTTTGGGGTTTAGGGTGTAAGCGTTTTGGGGTTTAGGGCTTGGGGGGTTAGGGTTTAAGGTTTAGGATTTAGGGTTTAAGGTTTAGGGTTTAGGGTAGTTTAGGGTTTTGGAGTTTAGGGTTTAGGGTTTAAGGTTGAGGCTGGTAGGGAATGGGGAATGGGTGATGAGGACTATTTTTGGGGATGAAGGGGCTGTGGTAGGGATCCATGCCCCCACTCCCTACTAAGTTCCAGACAGGTTTTAGTTATGGCGATGCACCTGGGATTTTGGGTGTACTTGTTCTGGTCGCTGTATTGTTGCCGCGAACCGTAGGTTTTGGTGGGAGTTGGAAGTACAGCCTGCCCTTAGTCGAAAAGCCTTCAATCGTAGGCCCAACAAACGAAATTCTCAAGCCTGAGCCCTAAACCTGAATCCCCAAACCACTCGGGCTGAGGTTATCATAGGGCTCGTCAAACACTGTACATGTTTACCCAAAAGCCCGAAGACCCCAAATCCTCTACCTTGAAACCTTGAACCCTGAACGCCTAGGCAAATACCTAAAGCCCCAAACCCGAAACCCCAAGCCCTACACCCCGAAGCCTGAACCCTAAGCCCATATCTTTCGTGATCTCCTTAGGACCCGGCTTCTGGTCAGATCGGTGCTGTTCTGAATACGACTTCCGTTTTGGGGTCTACAAGGGCTTATCAGGGTTCATAAGGGTCTATGACCGTTTACACAGGTTTACAAGGGTCTAGGGAAGAAAAGAGTTTATGATTGAGGGTATCTGTTTGACGGGGAGCTTGCTGCAGTCGGGCATGGGCGCCGAGTTCAGGTTTTAGGGTGCACTGTGTTTAGGACCGTCAAAAGAAGCAGCTGCAACATCACAGTGCTTCCTTTGTACAGCCCGTGTGCTCATAGCATAATTCGAAAGCCCCTACAACTTAGGCTGTCGCAAACTCCAAGAAGCCCTGCATGACAACCCAGTCTGATTATTCCGATTTAAACCCACGTCTCGGCCACGTGGCTTGGAAAGTTGAATGATTAGCACTTGTATTTCCTTCGCTCCCGTTGAAGATGAAACCGTGAAACCCTAAAACCGGTAGCCCAAGTCGAGGAACTCTACTTTCTAAACCCTCAACCCTAGACCGCGCAAGATTCGGCTTCGTTTGAGGCTGCTGATTGGTTCGGGGATGAGGCCTCTGTACTGCTACTGTCTCGCGAAGAGTTCGGCTTATGCGCTTGTGCCCTATTTCCGGCCACCTAAACCCCGAAACCGCAAACTCTAAACCCTAAACCGGCCCCAAAACCACAAGCCCCGAAACCAGTAGCAGGAGTCCTTTACGGCCCATCTGGATGCAAGGTTTCAGAGTCTGGCAGAGTTTGGTTCGATCCGCAAGTCCTTGCACAGTGCTGCAAAACAGAGTCCGTGATTTACAGACGCTCCAGATAGCTGACTATTGGCATCGCCAATGTAGAGAGCAACAGCCACGGTACTAACCATCATACTTATTTGCAGAAGCACCATTACATCTACAGAGCCAGCACGGATATGAGTACTATCACGTATGCTAGTGATCCCTGGAGCTTGGACTTTGCAACCCTAGGGATCTTAGCTCCGCTCCAAGAGTCGCCTTCGCCATGCATCTGCACTTAAGCTTCCTTCATGGGATGACAGGAGAGTCACTGGGCAGTCTGAGTGTGCAGCTCCCGCTTCGGGTGGACGTCGATGCGCTGTCGCAAAACCTGGGTCACTCTCTCCACGGCTATGTCGTCCTCGCTGCGCCTCTACGGGAACTTACAGACAATGCAGAGGACGACTCGGAGGACGACGGAGAGCACGACGCACAGGACGGTCCCTGGCGCCGACTTTCAGGATTGAAGCTGGCACAGAGCCATTGCCACTCTGCAACACGGAGCGTGACTTTGCACCTCCTGCGGCCGGCGCGCATTTTCCTTCGAAACATGCGGAATTCGAGGGCGTCCGTGTGGGCTGGCTGGCGACGATGGTACGCTGAATTCAGGGAAGCCGCGGCAGAGATGCCACTTTTCAGCATCAGCGTCCCACACTACCGTGTGTGCCGCGGCTTCCATTATTTTGGCGAAGCCAATGTGCGATCCCTGGCTCCACTTATACTGCAGGCGCAAGCCTCAGCAGTGCGCCGCGGGAGGGGGGGCAACCGCCATCGGAGCTGGGCTGGATGCAGGCATGCACTTGTATTCAGGACAGGCTTACGAGATGCGGACGTGGCACGATTCATAGCGCAGTGGCTCGACACTCATCATATCTGGGTTGCCGAGGTCGCCGTGCGATGTCAAAGCGAGATCGTATATATTAAATGAACGTACTGTTTTCTGAAGTTTTGCTGCTGAGTGATCGACTTTGTGCCGGCTCTATATGAAGCGACAGCGCCGAGATCCCACTTACCTGCAGCGCGCTCAAAATCATGCGATTGCCCCGCTTTGCTGCATGATGTGCGTAAATGCTCAAAGCTGAGAGGTGTGGGTGGCACTTGTTCATACAGCATGCGTTTGTGCTCATGTCATTGCGCAGGACAGCGACATCGACGTAACCATCCTTACCGAGGAGTTTGCCGTTGCAGGTCCGGCGCCCTTCGAGGAATCGCGCGCGTCTCGCTTGCACCGAGAGTTTCGACTGTCCTCCTAAACGTGGCTGCAGGCAACACTTAGCGTCATTTTACTCCCAGTTTTCTTAGGAGGAACCGGGCTGTAGGCAATACTTAGCATGATTATCTTAGTTCCCATCGGTTGCGGGCCGGACAATCTTTACTGGGATTAGCAGGAAGCGAGCTGTAGGCAATACTTAGCATGATTCTCTTACTTCCAATCGATTGCCGGCAAGATTTAGGAGGAATAGTAGGAGACGGGCTGTAGGCAATATTCAGCATGATTATCTTAGTTCCCATATGATGCGGGCCGGGCAATCTTTAGTAGGATTAGCAGGAAACGAGCTGTAGGCAATACTTAGCATGATTATTTTGCTTCCAATCGGTTGCCGGCAAGGTTTGGGAGGAACAGTAGGGAACGGGCTGTAGGCAATACTCAGCATGGCTATCTTAGTTTCCATAAGATCGGGCCGGGCAATTTTTAGTAGGATTAGCAGGAAACGAGCTGTAGGCAATACTTAGCATGATTATCTTACTTCCAATCGGTTGCCGGCAAGATTTAGGAGGAATAGTAGGAGACGGGCTGTAGGCAATACTCAGCATGATTATCTTAGTTCCCATCGGTTGCGGGCCGGGCAATTTTTAGTAGGATGAGCAAGAAACGAGCTCTAGGCAATACTTAGCATGGTTATCTTACTTCCGACCGGTCTAATGTGCCACGACCGGTCCCCGCCAATTGATGCCATCAGGAACTGTCTGCACTCTCGCCAATTACGTGCTGTGTACAAGACGACCCGTCGAAACCGAATAAGTGCACTAAGTGTTGCCTACAAGCCCGTGTTTTTTTATGTGGGGCAGCAAAGCCCATACCAGCAAAGTCGTTTCATGGAGTATAGCCGAAATCCCAATACTCACGTGGATTTGTTACTCCGGATAGAACCGTTGCGCAAGGCAGCTGCGGAGCTCAGGTCTCAACAGCGCACCGCATCCGCTAGGAATGTTCCTGTCGAGCCGTTTCGGCCTCCGACACTTGAACACTTCTTGGAGTGTGAAGGCGCGAGCCATCGCCATCCTTAGGAGACAGTGCCCAGCCACTTGAAAACTGATTTCCTCAAAATGCCTGCAATGATGTCCTCAATGGCGGTGCCGCGCCATGTATGGCAAGATCCTTGGTCTTGTGCACTGACGAGCGCAAAGCGGTGACGGAATGCCTTGTCATAATCCTTCGTTTCCGTAGCCGGTCGGGTTCTACAGCTGCTGTACAGGGAAGCGATGCATTGCTCCAACCAGTTAAATCCAAGCATGCTGCCAAACCCCATGTTGGTAGCCGTGTCGATTTCTTCCTGTGTCACCTGGTCATCTCGCCTTCTTCACTTGCAAACTAAAACTGCGGGCGAAAGATAGATGTGATGTCCAGCAGCGAAACTTTTGCAGGACTGCACTGCCAAAGTCCCACACCGGAACAAGTATGTTGCAAGTCGTTGTGGTGAAATGCTCGTTGCCCCGTGCAGTATCTGACCTTGACTGTCTCCACCGTCTTCAAGACATTTGTTCATGACGCATTCCTTCCTACTGACCTGTTGTCCTTTTTGAGTTTGTCTGCTTGCCCATGTTGAGAACGAACACATGGTCAACATGCAGTTCGCTATGACATAGCCGCAACATGGATCGAAACAGTAGGTTCCGTATGCAAGCTGAATTGTCGTCAGTCCTGTTGGCACAACTATTGCAGCCATTTCCACCATCCAGGTTCGTCTTGTGTTTTGCCATGTTGTGGTCTGATGCCACGACGTCGGGTTAATTGCTTGATCTCCTTCCTGCATCTTCCTGCCTGATCATGTTCGTGTTCTACTTGGGAATTGTGGCGCTCATCCTGCAGACCCAATTCCCTGGCTTTGACCGCTTAGATGCTTTTTCGATTGCAGAGATAGTGCTGATGTTCAACTTCCGCACATGCTGGGAAACAGCCTGCGCGAACAGACACCAAAACAAATCGAAAGACATGTCCTTTGGGAAAACCCGATAATATCGAGAAAGCCTGTCTCACATCACCATATGCAGCTTGGACGATGACAACGAGAGGCGTACTATCTTACATGTGTGTCTGCCTACGTCCGTCTGCTGTCCACTTGCTCGTATCCGTGGGAGCGTTCATTTCCATTTGTTTTTCGTTTGTATGTGCTTGTAATATCCAGTGTTCATCGTTCTCTGTTCATACCATTTCACCCCGCGCACTTGTTCCTGCGACAACGATAATGAAGTTTGTTTCGCATTTTTGAACGCATCGCAGTTCGTTCATGGGTGTGAAGCGAAGGGCAGAACCCTAGGACCCCTTCGTTCGGGACCGGTCTTCAAAAGACTCAGCTGCAAGAAACGACCAGCTCCTGCAGTGAGACCACAGTAATCAGTGTGTGTCCCACCACAAAACCCTTGAAATACCTTAAGCCCTAAACCCATCCATGCGGTCAGCTGAAACCCCGCAAACCTGTGGGAAACCTTTCCTTTCCTTGTCGGCGGTATCCCGAACACAACGAAAGACGAGCTCCGTCTTCGTTTCTGTCGCATTGAGGTTTCCAACAAGCATGTGCCAGGTGGGAGATAACATGTACCGTAGCTTTGCATTCACAGGTTGGCTGAGTGTTTGCAAGATTTCAACTAAGGATTTCCAGCGCCGGCTGCTTCGCAAAGTGCGTGGATTATTGGTGCAGGCTGCATCCCAACCACAGTTCAGAACAATGCTTTACGGCCAAGCAAGGCATTCGTGTGTATGTCGTTTGGTGTGCCCACACCCAGTGCTTGCAGGTTCCAGGCGTGGAGATCTTGGAGTTCATATCAGAAGCCAAGCGGCCGCTCTTGAGGATGATCTTGCCATGTGGCTTCTCTGCGGCACTATGTCTTTTGCAGATACAGCTTGTCTTGTTTTGCATTCCCAGCAGACGTTGCAAGTGTTCCTTGTGAAGCCCAGGCAAGAAGGCCGATGTGTCAGCAGAAAACCGTGAAGGTTGCCAAAAGTCCGCATTCATTGCCCGCCATCTCCACATTGGACATCCAATGTTGGCGAGAACCTGCTTGTGTTTGAAGACATGGGCGCAGAGGCCGCCCCGATATGTTCAACAAGCCTTTCGAGAAAATGTACAATTTCCTCAGAAGGGTTGGTTGTGAAGGCTTCTCGCAGGAACACTGTATAGCGTTGTGGCGTGCTTTTTGAATTAAACGCAAGTGGTCTGTGTCGGCCCCAGTGTTGTGCAGCTTGATGGGGAAGTAAAGGCCACACCACACATGCGCAGCCGTTCATTCGCAGGCGAGGTGTCTATGGACAGCAATGTGGCTTCCCGTCTGGTTTGGGCTTCTCATGCATGGCAATCTTTGCAGCGCAGTGCTTCGAGCCGACGGTGGCTGGACAAGTGGGAGAGGCATGCTCCGGAAGGTTAGTTCGGGCAGACTTCGTGACAAAATCTAGTTGTCTACGTGCACAACTTCAAGCAGCAAATCTGAGACATTTGTTGCGTTGGGCAGGTTCCAGAGCTCATCCACATGTCCCACGTCAATGATCTTCGACAGCGGGACGCGACGACCGACGAGGACCTGCCACGTGTGGTTCGTGGTATTTTCCAATTCTACGCCGATTCTTGCTCGGCAAGACGTCACGTTTGATTTGTACAGTGTAGATGCCGTGATCAGGCTGTGAGGTGACTGCGCTGACTATGCGGTTGATCTTTTTCCTGCATCTTCTTTCGTATCCAAGGATGTCTTCGATTGGGATACAGAGCAGGTGGCTTGCCTGAGCACATCGCGAGGCTAATGACACAGGCACTGACTTCACCGCCGGGCAGCGGGCTATGACTTCGGTCAGTTTTTCTGATCATCAAGGCATGTTTAGTCTAGCCAGTTCGGTCATCATAAGTCTCACGGCCAAAGTGTGAGCATCGACTGGGCGCTATAAGTGGCCAGTAAGGATCTCTGCATGACTCGCAGGAATCCCTAAACACTGGTCGCTGAACCCGGATCCCTGGAACGTATACAAATCCCGCATGAACAGGCTCAAGCAGATCATATGTTTAAGATACGAGTTTCTGCTCTGCGCTTTACCGCAACACTCACCCGAACCCGCACACTCAGAACACATAAACCCTGAACCCCTGAATGCTTGGACCGAAATCGTAAACTCGAAACCTTAGCCAAGCTGAAAGATTGATTTTAGTGCGTCCGGTGGTGCACGTGTCCCGTCGCCGAGGGCAAACCCTAAACCCTAAACGGGGGTGTCAGAGCCAGGTGTCCCCTCGCCGAGGGCACAGACAGGCACGCCGGGCACTAACGGCAGACGGCGTGTTGAGCATCGAGGATCCAGCGTTGCGGCTTAAAGCGGCCGAAACTAGGGTCCTTAATACTTACCTATGCTATTCTGGGGGATCCTTATTGTAAGTATGGCCCCAAAACCGTATTCTAACTATACAGGCCCTTATATTAAACTCGAAGCTCCGTTTTTCGGGTTGATGGCTCGGGTTTGGGGGTGTGCTATAAAGGCCTCAGAAATTAGAGTTAGGGCCCATTATACTATAACTATTTTGGAACCCCAGAATAGCATAGATAATTGTTGAGGCTTCTATAGTATATAGGGTATATGTAAGGTTTGCTTTAGGGTTTTGGGGTTGGGGCCCTAAACCCTAAACCCTAAACCCTAAACCGGGGCTTTTCGGGCTTGCGGATTCGGGGTGAAGGCCCCAGGGCCGAACCCTCAGGCATGGAGGTAGGTGAGGAGGCATCGAAGGACTCCTGATTACCTTCAGCTTAGGTGCGGCCCCCATACAGTAAGAGTCTATAGTAGGTCTACTATTAAGGTCCTACTATATCTATGTTATGAATATTATTCAACTATTACTGAGTGGGGGCCGTACCCAACCTGCACCCCACCTTACGGGAAGCCAGTTCTTTGGCTCCGTTTAGGGTCAACGATGGCCTTCTCGCAGGCCTGACGGTTGAGGGTTTAGGTTGTAGGTTGTAGGGTTTCGGGGTTTTAGTGTTAAAATTTAGGGCTTCAGGGCCAGGAGCGTCGGTTTTCCTATGACGTTGACCCCGACCCTAACCCATAATCCTATATCTGCACCTACCAGTACTAAACCCTGAAGCCCTCTACGCCTGGAACATTAACCCCACAGCCTCAACCAAAACTGCGAAACCCTGGATCAGCCTTGATCCCTTCCGCTCCGAAGCAGGCTGCTGGCCCTTTAAACCTTAAGCGCTGGTGTCCAGCAAAGCTTGAAAGAGCCCGAAGCCTAGAACCTCTACAGGTATCTTTGAAGCAACACTTAGCGAACCAGTCTTGGAAGCCAAACTGCTAGGATTATCGAGCTTCTTTATCGGGGCATAGAGGCCCTAACTGTCAGGCTTTGCGCGTTACTGTACGGTTTTCTATAGCAGTTACTATACAGGTTATGTCAGGTCCTGAAGGCTTACATAATGCCCCCCCTTGCAGTAGCCCTAACAACTAAATCGCTGTAAATGACTCCCTACTGATGCGGTCGACTTGCTCTTGAACCCTAAACCAGGGCATGAAGTGCACAATCTTTCACCACCCAAAATCCAACCCGAAACAATGAAACTTAAATCCTGAGGTGCTGCCAGATCTTGACCTGGCTCGCCCCTACATGAATTTGGTGCCTTGCTTGCATGGGCTTCGCTGGGCTTTGTTAGGTTGGTAGGTTTCAGTCGGGCTTTCCAACCTCACCGGGTTCTGTATATCTCGACGGGATGTTTTTTTGGATAGGGTTAGTTTCGTCTTAGTCTTACCATTGGTTTTAATCCTACTCCTAGTCCTCCTCCCACTCCTGGCCTTACTCTCCCTCTTGGTCTTACTCTGTCTTTTACTTTCACTGTTACTCTTACTCCTACTCTTACTCTCAATCTTAGTCTCACCGTTCTCATTCCCATTCTCATTCTCATGCTTTCTCATGCTCATTCCCATCTTCATCCTCATCCAGATCCTTATTCTTATTTTTATTTGTGTCCATATCCTTATCCTGATGCTTATGCTCATGTTTATTCTTTATTCGTATTGTTATTATCATCCCTACCCTTATTCTTAATCTTATTCTTGTTCTTATTCTTATTCCTATTCTCATTCTTAGTTCTTCCTACTCTTATGCATAGTCTTGTTTTTATATTCATCTTTATAATTATGCTCATGTTTATTCTTGTTTTTATGCTTGGTGTTAGTTTTATTCTCACTCTCATTCTCATTCTCATTCTCATTCTTATTCTTATGCTTATTCTTATTTTTATTCTTATTATTATTATTTTATTTTTTAATTCTTGTTTTTGTTCTTATTCTTATTCTTATTCTTATTCTTATTCTTTTTCCTTTATTCCTATTATGCTTAAACTCACGTGTATTCTTATTCTTGTTTTTGGTCTTATTCTTGTTCTTATTCTTAGTCTCATTCTTGTTCTTATTATTCGTTTCATTCTTGTTTTGACTATGACTATTATTCTTAGTTTCAGAATTATTCCAATTCTTATTCTTATTCCTTATTCTGCTCATGTTTATTCTTGTTTTTATTCAAATGTTTGCTATCATTCCTATGTTTATTCTTGTTCTTGTTTTTGTTATTATTCGTATTCTTAGTCTTATTCGTATTAATATTTCTTATTCTCATCCTTTTTGTTAATCTCATTCACAGTTTTATTTTCATTTTTAATCTGATTATTATTAATATTTCTTTTTTTTTTTCGTTTTTTACCTTCATTTTTTGTTTTGGTTTTTATTTGTATTTTTGATTTTATTCTTATTCCTGCTCTTATTCTTGTGTTCTTGTATTTTTGTATTCTTGTATTCTTGTTCTTATTCTTATGCTTATTCTTATTCCTATTCTTAGTCTTAGTCTTATTCTTATTGTTATTCTTAATTCTTACTGTTACTCTTATTTTTATTCTTATTCTTATTTTTATATTTATTCTTATTCTTATTCTTATTCTTATTCTTATTCTTATTCTTATTCTTATTCTTATCATTATCCTTATCGTTATCCTTATCCTTATCCTTATCCTTATCCTTATTCTTATTCTTATTCTTATTCTTATTCTTATTCTTATTATTATTCTTATTCTTATCCCTATTCCTATCCCTATTCCTATTCCTATTCCTATTCCTATTCCTATTCTTAGTCTTAGTCTTAGTCTTAGTCTTAGCCTTATTCTTATTCTTATTCTTATTCTTATTCTTTTTCCTTTATTCCTATTATGCTTAAGCTCACGTGTATTCTTATTCTTATTTTTGGTCTTATTCTTGTTCTTATTCTTATTCTCATTCTTGTTCTTATTATTCGTTTCATTCTTGTTTTGACTATGACTATTATTCTTAGTTTCAGAATTATTCCAATTCTTATTCTTATTCCTTATTCTGCTCATGTTTATTCTTGTTTTTATTCAAATTTTTGCTATCATTCCTATGTTTATTCTTGTTCTTGTTTTTGTTATTATTCGTATTCTTAGTTTTATTCGTATTAATATTTTTTATTCTCAACCTTTTTGTTAATCTCATTCACAGTTTTATTTTCATTTTTAATCTGATTATTATTATTATTTCTTTTTCTTTTTTCGTTTTTTACCTTCATTTTTTGTTTTGGTTTTTATTTGTATTTTTGATTTTATTCTTATTCCTGCTCTTATTCTTGTGTTCTTGTATTTTTGTATTCTTGTATTCTTGTTCTTATTCTTATGCTTATTCTTATTCCTATTCTTAGTCTTAGTCTTATTCTTATTGTTATTCTTAATTCTTACTCTTACTCTTATTTTTATTTTTATTCTTATTTTTATTTTTATTCTTATTCTTATTCTCATTCTTATTCTTATTCTTATTCTTATTCTTATTCTTATTTTTATTTTTATTCTTATCATTATCCTTATCCTTATCCTTATCCTTATCCTTATTCTTATTTTTATTTTCATTCTTATTCTTATTCTTATTCTTATTCTTATTCTTATTCCTATTCCTATTCCTATTCCTATTCCTATTCTTATTCTTATTCTTATTCTTATTCTTATTCTTATTCTTATTCTTATTCTTATTCTTATTCTTATTATTATGCTTATGCTTATGCTTATTCTTATGCTCATTCTTGTTTTTGTTCTTGTTCTTGTTCTTGTTCTTATTCTTATTCTTATTCTTATTCCTATTCCTATTCCCATTCCTATTCCTATTCCTATTCCTATTCCTATTCCTATTTCCATTCCTATTCCTATTCCTATTCCTATTCCTATTCTTATTCTTATTCTTATTCTTATTCTTATTCTTGTTCTTGTTCCTGTTCTTGTTCTTGTTCTTGTTCTTGTTCTTATTCTTATTCTTATTATTATTCTTATTCTTATTCCTTATTCTTATTCTTATTCTTATTCTTATTCCTATTCTTATTCTTATTCTTATTCTTGTTCATATTCATATTCTTATTTTTATTCTTAATCTTATTCTTATTCTCATTCTTATTCATATTCTTATTCTTATTTTTATTCTTATTCTTATTCCTATTCTTATTCTTATTCTTATTCTTTTTCTTATTCTTATTCTTATTCTTATTCTTATTATTATTCATATTCTTATTTTTATTTTTATTCTTATTCTTATTCTTATTATCATTCTTATTCTTATTCTTATTCTTATTCCTATTCCTATTCCTATTCTTAGTCTTAGTCTTAGTCTTAGTTTTAGTCTTAGTCTTAGTCTTATTCTTACTTTTATTTTTATTCTTATTCTTATTCTTATCTTATTCTTATCTTATTCTTATTCTTATTCTTATTCTTATCCTTATTCTTATTCTGATTCTTATTATTTGTTCTATTTTTGTTTATTACTTTTTTTTTAATTCTGATGTTGTTCTTATTCTTTCCCTTATGATTATGCCAATGTTTTTTTTTCATGCCTGTTGTCAGCTTTATTCTTATTCTCATTTTGATTGTTTTTAAGATTATTGTTCTTATCTTATTCTTTGTTCTTATCCTAGTGTTTATGCTCATGTTGATTTTTTTTTTCAATTTTCATGTTTATTTTATTTTTCATCCTAATTCGAATTCTTAGTTTTATTCTCGTTTCTGTTCTAATTTTTAATCTCAGTCTCATCCTTATTTTCCTTCTTAGTTTCATACTCATTTTTGTTCTTGTTCTGATTTTGATCGTTATTCGCACTCTGATTCTTATTCGAATTTTTATTCTTGTTCTTATTTCTATTCGTATCCTCATCCTTATCCGTATGCGTATTTTTGTTATGTTTATTCTTATTCGCATGTTTTTGTTGATGCTTTCTTTATTCTTATTTTTATTGTTATCACCATTTTTATCCTTATCTTCGTGCTTGTGCTTACGCTTATTCTGATTCTTTTTCCCGATTGTTATTCTTACTGGTTTCCTATAGTCTTTTATTTTATTTTTCCTCTGACGGTAACTCTTTTTTTCACGATTAGTCTTATTCATGCTTTTACCCTTACTGTTACCCTTGCTGTTACCCTTACTCTTACTCTCCACTCATACTCTTACTCTTACGTTCACTCTTGCTCTTAGACTCTTACTCTTATTGTTGCTCGTCGCACTTGTTCTCGTTTGGCCAATTCTTTACTTTTTACGGTTTATTGTTCATTCTTTATGTTTTACCCTTCACTCTTACTCCTTAGTGTTACTCCTTACTGTTACTCGTACTCTTACTCTTTTTTTTACTGTTACTCTTACTCTTATTCTCACTGTTACTCTTACTCTTATTCTTGCTCTTAGAATCTTTTTTTTACATTGCTCTTCACGTTGCCGACTCTTTACTCTTTACTTTTACGCTTTATTTCTACCGTTTATAGTTTTCCTTTATTCTTATTCTCATTCTCATATTCTTATTCTTTTCTTATTCCTTATTCTCATCCTTATGCTTATGCTCGCGTTTGTTCTTGTTTCCAATCATTGTTATTTTTATTCTCATTCCTAGTCCTATTCCTATTCCTATTCCTATTCCTATTCCCATTCCTATTCCCATTCCTATTCCTATTCTTACTCCTATTCCTATTATTATTTTTGTTTTTTCTATCCTAATTCTTGTTCTGAGTCTCATTCTTACTCCTATTGTTTGTTCGTTATTCTTATCCCTATGCGTATGCTCATGTTTATTGTTGTTCATATTCTTGGTCGCATTATTATTCTTGTTCTCATTCTGTATTCCTTATTCTTATCGTTCTATTCATGTTTATTCTTATTCTTATTCTTATTCTTATTATTGTTCTTGTTCTTGTTCTTGTTCTTGTTCTTATTCTTATTCTTATTATTACTCTTATTCTTAGTCTTACTCTTGCTCTTATTCTTATTCTCATTCTCATTCTTATTCTTATTCTTATTCATATTCTTATTCTTATTCTTATTCTTATTTTTATTCTTATTCTTATTCTTATTCTTATTCTTGTTCTTATTCATATTCTTATTCTTATTCTTATTCTTATTCTTATTCTTATTCCTATTCCTATTCCTATTCCTATTCTTAGTCTTATTCTTATTCTTATTCTTATTCTTATTCTTATTTTCATTATTATTCTTATTCTTATCCTTATCCTTATGCTTATTCTTTTTTTTTCTTTCTCTTTTTATTTTTCATTTTCTTATTGTCTTATCCTTATTCTTGTTCTCATTCTTATCTTTGTTCTTATTCTTATTCTTGGCTGTATGATCATGCTCATGTTCATTTTTGTTTTATGTTTGGCCTGGGCCTTAGCATTTTTCTTACTTTCAGTTTAGTTTTTTGTTCATTCTTGTTCTTATCTTTTTCTTTATTCTTATCTTTATGCTTTTGCTAACCTTTTTTTTTCTTGTTGTTTGTATTTTTTTTATTCTTAATCATATTCTTATGTTTATGCTAATTTTTCATTCTTATCTTGATATTCGTATTCTGATCCTTATTCGTATTCTTATTCTTGTTTTTATTTCTATTCGTGTCCTCACCCTTATCCTAGTGCGTATTTTTATTATGTTGATTCTTATTCGTATTTTTTTGCTGATGCTTTCCTTATTCTAATTTTTCCTATTAGTATTTTTTATTTTTATCTTCATGTTTGTGCTTATGCTTATTATTTTCCCGATTGTTATTCTTACAGGTTTCCCTTTAGTTTTCTTTATTCTAACTCTTACGCTAACTCTTATTTTTACGATTAGGTTTATTTCTCCTTTTACCCTTACTGTTACCCTTGCTCTTACCCTTATTTTTACTCTCCACTCATATTCTTACTCTTACCTTTACTCTTGCTCTTAGGCTCTTACTCTTACTATTGCTCATCACACTTGCTCTCGGTTGGCCAACTCTTTAGTTTTTACGCTTTATTCTTCACTCTATATGTTTTACTCTTCACTCTTACTCCTTAGTGTTACTCTTTACTGTTACTCGTACTCTTACTCTTAATTTTATTGTTGCTCTTACTCTTATTCTCATTGTTATTTTCAGTCTTACTCTTACTCTTATTCTTGTTTTTAGATTTTTTTTATATTACTCTTCACGTTTGTTCTTGTTTTGGCCGAGTCTTTACTATTTACTTTATACACTGTATCCTTTTTTACCCTTTACTCTTAACTCTTACTTCTTACTCATACTCTTTCTTTTGCTTTTACTCGTACTTTTGCTCTTAGGCTTACTTTTACTTTTATTCTTACTCCTACTCTTACTTGTATTTTTAGTTATTATCATTTTTTTTTCTTACTTCTTGCTCTGTACTCTAACTCTTCCTTTTATCTTTACCCGTTAGGCTTCAATCTTCACTCTTCACTCCTGACTCTTCATTTTTGATCTTACTCTGACTCTTACTTACTTTTACGTTTCTTCTTACTTGTACTCTTACGCTGACGCTGACTCTGACTCTGATTCTTACTTTTCCGCGTACCCTTACTCTTACTCTAACTCTGTCTCTTCACGCTTACTCTCTTTGCGCTGACTTTTTAGTGTGTACTCTTCACTCTGCGTTTACTTTTGCTGTTACTCTTACTTTCGTTTGTTTCTTATCCTTGTGCCCTTGCCCTTTTTACTCTTCCTCTCTTATTCTTACTCTCTTACTATCTCACTCCCTTACTCTCTTACTCTGTTACTCTCTTATTCTTTACTCCGTTACTCTCCTACTCCCTTACCCTTTTACTCTCTTACTCTTGCTCTCTTGCTTTTGCTCTCTTTCTCTTGCTGTTTAAAGAACTTGCTCTCACATTCTTGCTACTCTTCTTTTATTCTTATTCATTTACGATCTCAGTCTCCCTCTGTTACTCTCCTATTGTCTTACTCTTTTACGCTCTTACTCTGTTACTCTCTTACTCTCTTTCTCTCTTATTCTCTTACTCCCTTACTCTCTTACTCTTTCACTCACTGTCTTACTCCCTTACTCTTACCCTTATGCTCTTACTCTTACTCTTCCTCGTACTTTTTCCGCTTACGCATACGCTTCCTCGTACTCGTACTCTTACTCTTACTCTTACCTTACTCTTACTCCTACTCTTACTCTTACTCTTACTCTTACTCTTACTCTTACTTTTACTCTTACTCTTACTCTTACCTTACTCTTACTCTTACTCTTACTCTTACTCTTACTCTTACTCTTACTCTTACTCTTACTCTTACTCTTACTCTTACTCTTACTCTTACTCTTACTCTTACTCTTACTCCTACTACTCCTTACTCCTACTCCTTACTCCTTACTCCTTACTCCTTACTCCTATTCCTACTCCTACTCCTACTCCTACTCTTACTCTTACTCTTACTCTTACTTTTGCTCTCTTACTGTTACTCTCTTACTCTTACTCTCTCACTCTCTTTCTCTTACTCTCTTACTCTGTTACTCTCTTACTCTCTTATTCTCTTACTCTGTTACTCTCTTAGTCTCTTACTCTCTTACTCTTTTACTCTCTTACGCTTACTCTTACTTTTGACTCTTGACTCTTGCTTTTGCTTTTCTCTTTCCGCTTCCTCTTACTCTTGCTCTTGCTCTTGTTCTCACTCTTACTCTTATTTTTTACTCTTACTCTTACTCTTACTCTTACTCTTACTCTTACTCTCACTCTTACTCCTACTTTACTTTTGCTCTTACTCTTAGTTTTTTCTCTTGCCTCTTTGCTCTTGCTCTTACTTTTCCTCTTCCTCTTTCTCATCTCCTTACTTTTATCCTAACTTACTCTTATCCTTACTCTTACTCCTACTCTTGTCAGAAGGAGAAGCTACACGAGTTCGCTTTAGGGGGGTAACAGCGAGGAAAAACACGCTACTCGTACTGTTGTTGCGCACCACCTTCCCCTTTACATAACTACGAGGCCTTTGCCCCGCCCCTACAAGTTCGTCCAAATCCAAGAATACGAGTCGGTTTCCTTCACAGTCTTATATGCCCGTGCAGAGGAGCGCTCTCGCCAACTCCACCGACATTTCACCGCAACTGCCGAGCTCCTGACCAAAGGTCAGTGGAACGCGGCCTTCAATCCCTGACAAAAACAAGAGTTTCAGCGTTGAGGGCTTTTGAGGATAAATTTTTTGTTGAGGATAAGTTAGCATCCGAGGTTTCGGTTAAGGGTTTTCCCCAATCTGCAGACCAGACCGTTGTGAATTGCGTGGAAGCTTTTCGTTCCTTGTTGTGTTTCGGGTAGGGTTCGAGCTCGTACGACTGTTGGAGCTACACTAGACGGGTATAGCTGGCTCATACTGTTGTTAGACGAGTTATTCCGCAGGCAGTTCTTGTTTCCACCCATGCTATGCTGACGACTTCAGGAAGCCCTAAACCAATAAGCCCCACTAAATCGTGGCAAGGAATGCCTTCATGATCTCGGGATTCCCGCGGGCGTCCGTGCGCGGCACTCATCAGACCTTCGATACTGAAGTCTACTAGAAAGATTCGGGGATTGAGTACGTGGCCTTTTGAGTCGCATTCCGAATCTTGCACATCCTTGAAGGGTTGGGAATGTTCCTTCAGGGGTTTATAGCGGTTCACAAGGTTCAGCCCTTGGTGGCCGAGGAGGGGTGCAGTGCTCAAGTATAAGTTGGAAGCAGTACCTTGAACATCCCCAAACCTTGAACCAGACTGAAAGGCGGAACTTAACAAAAGTAGCGTAAACCTTGAACCTTACCGAAGCCTGTGAAGTGATCGCTGATTATATGAAGTGTTCGCTGATTAACGCGTAAACCATCCAGATGCCTTGGGGGCGGCTTGGGACCAGGCCTTTCTGCCAAAGTCTTGAATTCTCACGGCTAACATCCACATAGTGGGCTGAATAATACGAAACACAACAAGCACAACCATAACTTTAATATATGAGTAGTAATAATCGTAGCATCAGTGCAATACTAGTAGTCATGTCAATAGTCGCAACAAACATAACAATAACAACAACAAGAACAGTAATGAAAATGATGTTACACATTGCAATTTAGAAAACGATGATAATCGTGACACCAGATGGTAGCAATAACAATAAATATTATTAGCAATAGCTTCAATAATAATAGTGCTAGTAGCAACAACCAATAACAAAAACAGTAATAGCAAGAATAAGAAGAAGACTAATGACAATAAACCATTAGCTCGCTTGGCATCCACTTCCATCCTCGTTGTTTGTTTTTCATGTTCTTTGCTTGTGCTGCCGCTTAAGGCGATCCAAGACTAGTTTTTGCTTACGTTCTATTGAGAATGGAGATGATATCCCAGGTAGTCCTTACAATTGTGCTGTGACATTTGCGCTGAAACCCTATTCTGGTTACCTATTAAGGAAGCTGTGCTACTCAAGGACGTTTATGTCGTACTCGAGCTGTAATGCTTGCAGTCTCAAGCCCGATCCGTGAACTTCGCAGGATTCTTTACAGCTCAGATTGCCCCGCCTTGGAGTCTTGGAGTGCCTAACACCACGTTCAGCGTCTACCAGCACTGGCCGCTCATTTCGAGCATTCGTAGCATCAACATGCTTAGCTCAAACCTCCAATCTTAACCTGCCGAAGCCCTGAAGCAGTTACAATTGTCAGTTTCGGCCGTGAGCCTTCAACCATCAGCTGGAGTGCTTGCGAGCCGCATGCATGAAACACAAGGCAACAAACTTCCAAGGCCGACGTCTAGATATCAGACTTGACCGCCCACATCCTCTCAGCGACTTTAGGGTTTTAAGGGTTAGGGTGCTTGGCTTAGAGGTTTAGGCGTTTGGGGTTTAAAGTTTGGGGTGCAGGGTTTAGGGTCCTCTTCCTTAAACAGAGATGCCAACATCGTACAAAGCCCATGCCCTCCCCAGATCTTGGATTTGTACGTTCTGCGCGAGAACCGGAACAAGCGCGAGACGAGGCGTGCCGACAGACACGTTTATTGCGGTATCGGTTCAGGTTGAGCGTCAAGCCACACTCCCTACCTTTGGTTAGTAGGGAATGGAGGAATGGGGTACAATTCTAATATAGCTACTATTATTACCATTCTTTCATTCCCTACTAACCAAAGGTAAGCTTAAAATCCAAACGAAAAAATACCACTTCATTCAGCCCGAAGCCTCAAACTCTGCATTTCCCCACTCTCCATCCAAAACACAAGACTCTAAACCATAAGCGCATAGTGCATTAACAGCCACAAACCTACCGTTGCAAAAAGTTGCTTAAAAGGAAGCAGTATGTAATTATCGGAAACGTGCTCACCCAGAATCGAAACCGCCGGAGGATTCGGGGCTTCTGAGGGGCGAAATGGGTCACCATAAGAATTTGGCTTAATAAGCAAAACCCCAAACGCACACCCGAAATCCCAAACCCGAAACCCCCAAGACAAAACCCCAAAATCCTAATTCCTATACCCCAAACTTACCTTTAAACCCTAAACCCCAAACTTAACGTGAACCCTAAACCCCAGACCTACCCTAGCATCTTCGAGGAGCTCCTCGGATCTTGCACCCCCAAAAGAAGCTCCGCAACCCGTATTCCTGAACACGAGGCTGCCTTGCGAAACGCTGAACCTTGAAACCCTAAACACCGAACCCCGAAACCGTACATCTTTAAACGCCTAAGCCCCTAAACCGTGAATCTTTAAGCCCCTATCCCCTAATGCCCCTAAACCCCTCAACCCCTAAACCCCCAAACCGACAAAGCTGGGAGAACGAACCTTGAGTCATCGATGCAGGGGCTGAAAACGAAAAGAAGGGTGGTTCGCGAGGGGCTGAATGGCTACCCAGACGTTCCAAAATCCTTTGATGAAGGAGTGGGCTTTAAATCATACTGGGGATCCCATTGACAATATGATTCCACATTTCAGGTATAGTATATTCCTGAATTTCGGATTTGGAAGGTTTGGGTACGGGGTTGTCAACCCGTCCGAGAGACTCGGACTTGTGGCTTTGCGTCTTTAGGGTTTAGGGATTTTAAGGTTTGGGGTTTCATATGTTCCCTGATTGGGCTTTGGGTGTAGGGTTGTCCGGCAGTCAACTCGAAGATGCCCCCGACACTCTCTGATTTTGGTTTGAGCTTTCAAACTCCAAACCCCAGGAGCAAGCTAAAAAGAACAGCCTAAAGGCCCAAACTCCCAGACATTTTTGGGGTAATGTGGTTTAACCAAACTCAAATTACATGCAGCGTACTTCAAGCAATGCTCCGCACAATTGAGGGTAGCAGGTGCACCACGCTCGCAGTTCCCTTCGAAAAGCTTGTTGAACCCGTGCAACGAAGCCCGGCGTACAAAGGAATGACGACCTAGCCGACACCCCAAACCCTCAACCCTAACCCCAACTCCTAAACTCCTAAACCCTAAAACCCCAAAACCCCTAAACCCTAACCCCCCCAACCCCTCAAATCAAAAGACTCGAAGAGGCTGCTGCCGATGTTGACCTTCATCGCCGGTCCGATGTGGAAGAACCTGTTCGGCCATTCGGCGGAGCTTTTCAAAGGCCATGCCGGATTTAAATGTTGTGCTTGTGTTTGGGGTTTGAGGCTTTCAGTTCAGGGTTTAGGGTGTTAGCCAGGCCTCCTTGGTTTCAGTGTGAGGGTGTGATGGGTTTCATGGGTTCTCTTTCTTGTTTACAAGGGGCTCGTCGCGGTTTCAAGAAGACGAAGGTCTTCAACATCTTCTTGCTCAAGCGCTTGTGGCAGGTTTGGGCTTTGCAAAGGTTTGGGGTTCAGAGTTTCACCAGGGTTTTGGAGTTTTGGGACCTAAGGGGCTCGGGGCTGTGGATTTCATGAGGATGTCCTGCTGGGGCGTTTGTCTTACTGGAGCCTCCATGTGTAAAGTAGTATTCCTTTAGGTTCTTCAAGGTGCTTGTAGTATAACATATTTCAAGGCCTTATTCTAGTCATTCAGACCCCTTTACTAAGGCTTGGGTGTTCAAATGGTTTCGAGTTTTGGGTTCAGGGTGGGGGACCTTTGCGACGCTAGACCCCAAACCCCAGCCACTAGACACAAAATCGTAGGTGCTTGACACTAGACCCCGAACGCTGGACCCAAATGCTAAACCCTAAACCCCAAGAGGGTCCATATACACGACTATTATGGAACTAGGCCCCCCAAAACCATGGTCTTTTGGGACCGAATTCCATAATGGTAGTATCTGTGGACCCTCTGGGACCTGCAGGCTTCTGGTAGCCCCCAGGGGCCGGGGGGCTTTCGGAGGCTTGAGCTCTCCAGGGAAAGGGTTTAGGGTTTAGGGTTTAGGGTTTAGGGTTTAGGGTTTAGGCTGGAAAGGAAGTTGTTGGGGTTTCGGGTTTAGAGTGTCTCTGGTTTAAATTTAGGGTTGCGGGTTTCGGGTTCAGGGTTTAGGGTTTGATCACGGGTTTGGGGGTGCGCGTTATGAGTGTCAGGACTTGAGAACCGGATCTTGTTCGTGCACACCGGCTTTGAATGACATTGTAGTTCGATATCCAGGCCTTCGCAATGATTCTGGGGCGATTTCTTCCGCAGTCTTGCCCAGCTTTGTGCTTAAACTCCAAAATCTTGACGATTCAGTTTCAGCTCCTAAACCAGAACCCGAACATAAACCCCCCTTAACCTTCAAGCCCTCAACCCTACAAGCCTGGACAGTAAACCCGGTCATGGCACTGCGACCCTGCCCGCCAGCTGAGACGGACGACAATTCGTGCCCCTTTCGTCTCTGGCTATGTCGGGCCTTAACACTTTCAAGAGGGTGTCTTGGATTAGATCATCGTGTGAAAGTATTCGGGAACCCCACGCAACAGTGTTGGTAGTCCTTCCAGCTTCTATATCATATCATGGGAAAAATTGACTCAAGTATAGTCGCGTTCCGCATCTCTGAAACTTTTTACATGAAGTTGCATAAGACGAGAGCCTCCTTCCTTGCACCCAATCCTTAACCCCAAGTTCCCATTAAACCCTAAGCCCATCGCCTCAAATCCGGGGAAAGTCGTAATCATGTACCCAACTTGGTACACAAGCACTCCATACCTCGAATGCAAAGCTACGGCTCCAAAATCAACAGTCAGAAGCTATAAAGATGGAATACAGGCAGCGCAAGAAGTTTCCTGCTTTTGTCCTTGTTCCTGCCTGACACCTGTGTTCAAGCTTCGTGGTTTCTACGTCAATTGAACCCTCTGATTTGAAGAAGCCCCCTTGAGACGGTGTTGCAGTCTTCGGGCCTTAATAATTAGAATAGGCTTCGTTTAAACGGGTCAAAAAGGGCTACTATAAGGGCTACTATAAAAATCGTATAGGGCCCTTAGCAATTAGAATAGGGTTTTGGGAGATATTCTCCAACGTTTATCGAGTGTCCCATGCGCGGGTTCGAGGATCTAGTTCCTATCCCAAAGGGGCTTCGGATTCCTGCTTGGTTCTTATACCCTAAACCCTTCTGTTTGTGGAGACCCCTATATCGGAATTTTGGGTTCTAGACTTCGAGTGTCTGTTACCAGTACTCATCCTTAGGGTTCCAGAATATACTAGAACATACTACAAACATACTAGAGTCTCCGTAATTAAGCATACTCGAATACACTGTAATGGAATGTAGTAGGTCTCACACCCTGGAATAATGATGAAGACGATTTCGGCCCATGTCAGGCCTCGAACTGTTTTGGTGCGTAGAAGGGTCCAAGCTAGAAGGTTCAGGGTTTGCATTTGCTGAACTCGAAAACCCAAGCCCTAAACCCTACACCCCTAAAATGTTTAGTTGGTTTAGTTTCCGTAGTGGTAGTGGCGCCGCGGCCGATAAACCCTAAACTCTAAACCCTGAGCCCTAAACCCTAAACCCTCAAGAAAAAATGGAAATTGATTGTCGTTGTTGGTGTTGAGCTCCCTAGACCGTCAATTTCAAGTGCAGCCCAGCCCAAAACCAGGTTCCAATCGCAAAACTCCCTCATTTTTAAATCAGGTTCCAGCTACAAAACTCTTCCAAAATTCAATATCAAGTTCCAATCCCAAAACTCCAGCCCACAGCCCACAGCAGCCCCCAGCCCGGCTGCCAGCCCCCCCCTCGGTCAAAACATTTCGTCCCAGCTCCAGCCCCACCCCAGGGCCCAGCCAGCCCCTCAGCCAAGCCCAGCCCACCCCAGCCACCAGCCCGCCAAACCATCCCCCAAAAACAGATTCCAGTCCCATCCCCAGCCCAGTTCCCAAAGGAAAACCCAGGCCCCAGATCCCCGCCCAGCCCAGCCTCCCGGCTCACCAACTCGAAAGCCAAGTTCAAAAAGGAAACTTGCCAAAACGTTTCGGTCAAAGCTTTCGGATCCAAACGTTTCGGTCAAGACGATTCGGTCAAAACTTTCTCGGTCAAAACGTTTTTGGCACCCAAACCCTTAACAATTTCTATAAACGGTTCAGTCCCGATATTGCTGACTTCCAATCTGATCTTACCATGCCGTTTACAGCCAGCAAGCTTCCTGCTGTAGCAACCCCAAAGCCTTACACCCCTAAACCCTGAACCCCAGGGTGACAACCAGACCTGGGATGCGGGGTTTCAAAATGTAGGGGCCTGAAAACTTTGAATAGGCTTTGGGTGTATGTTAGATTTCGGGAGCCCCAAAAGCCCTACGTTAGTTGTTTTCTGGAGATTGGGCTTGAGATTGATGTTTCAGGTTTCAAGTGCTCTTCGTTGCAGGATGCAGGCATTTCTTCTTGTTCTGGTTTGCAGGTGGAGGCTTGACGTTGCTTAAGCCGTGCGTTGAGATCGATTGGCTTGATCAATCAATCCCTTAACTCTTCGTCCCTTCTGCAGGTACTATGTGAACGATAAGACGTTGCTGGTGAACCGCTTTATTTCCGTCCCACGCGACCTGGGGGCTGTGAACTGCGGCGCGTAGCACTGGCATGGAGGACTTACAAAAGGTTTCATCCATGAAACTTAAACTTCAACCTCAACCCCTGAACCCCAGGCCCTACTTGAAAGCTTCATGGGACTTACTGCGTACGTCTAAATTTCTTCTTTTACTTCTCGATGATTGATCTGTTGATCTAGGTTATACTTAAGCAAAGTGCATCTCTTAGTTTAGCTCACTGGGCCGTGGGGTCCATCATATGATGCAAGGTATGTTTGAAGGGGTGAATATCATTTGGACTCCATGGGTTTTGCATATTTCTACAGGCATACGTTAAACCCCATATCTTAAACCGTCTTAAACCCTAAGCTCTTAACCCTAGGCCCTAAACCCTCTCCCCCCAACCATCCTCAACCCTAAACCCTAAACCCTAGACCCCAAACCATCCTACACCCTATATGGCTAACCATGGCCACTTATGCATCGTCTGAGAGAATCCTTGCACTTTGGGGCCCCCAAACACCTGAAGTTTGGGGTTCAGGATTTAGGGTTTAGGATTTAGGGTTTGGGGTTTAAAATTTGGGGCCTAGGGTTTATAGGGTGTATAGGGTTTAAGGAAGCACTGGGGCTCCCGGCGGATGTCCAATAAGCTGATTTGCTGTGAGTCCTCTACTATGACCTAGAGTAGGCCCGTATTGCCTTTTCTAAGTTTAGGTTCCCTTATAACACCCTTTTTAACCAAAAAGGGCACCCTTTTTATTCCTAGGTTACTCTGAGGTTTAGTTTAAGAGCCAGGTTCGTTGCAGGCATGGTGGAAGGCGGCGGCCTCAGTGGTCGTCGTCGCGTTCTTCCACTGGGTTGCTAGATACAGAGGTTCAGGGGACTTAGGAAGGGGGTTTAGGATTTAGGTCTAGGGTCCAGGGGTTTAAGGTTTAGGCTTTACTCAAAGATGTGGAAGCATTGATTGGGCTCAAGCATCCGTTTATCCGAATTGCAACTCTATTTATAACCTACCTGCCGCGTCCCTCGATCCGTTAATTTAGTAGTGCCCTGGTTCTCGAGATCCCACCAATGGACCTGCCCCGGCGTTACGGCTTTGGGGTTTAGGGCCAGGGTTTCAGGGCCTCGCGCTCAGGGTTTATTGATTAGGGTGCGAGGTTTAGGGTTTGGGGTATATGCGGGTTTGGCATCTAGGGTTTAGTAGCACCTTGTAGTCCTTGCTGAACCCTAAACCCTAAACCCTAAACTATGCTAGACCCCCAAAGCCTGTTGAACCATTGCTCAGGCCTTTCAATTCGAGGGTTAAGGGCACGCTCAAAGGTCCTTATGCAGGGGCCATAATAACTAGAAGCCATAATAACTAGAATATTTAAAGGGGTCTAGAAGGGCTCCTACAAGGGCTATTATAAGGATTTAGTATAGGGGCCTGAATAATTAGAATAAGGTTTTGGGGGCGAGTCGGACTTGAAGTCTGTTCGAAAAGCTGGTTGGCATCAGCGCTGTGCTGACGCGTTGAACGGACTGAGCTCGACTATTGCAAGCAATCACAAACAGGGCATGGAGCTCTTCGCACCATCTCTTAATTAATAGGGGCCCTTGCCTCGACCATGCCCAACAGCAGTGCCGGAAGCAGGCGGCTGGCCCGCACGGTTGATTGTTCCTCCTCCCCTGTTCGCAGAAGTGGCAGCTCTACGAGACCAGGAGCGGCGATCAAGTTGTTCGGCTTCTTCCCACGTTTTCGGATACACGGCCTCACGAGCAGGTCGCTGCCTGTCCAGCTCAGCGTGCATTCCTCCTCTTCCAGCAGACGAAGTGGCAGCACCACCAGGTAGAGGGCAACTTGACATGTCCACGCATTCTGCTTGTTCCCAAGTGGTTGGCTGCACTGGTACTGGCTGCTGCCTGCCCAGCACAGTGCCTAACACGCGATTATTCATCTCTGCATCTCCATTGTCCGACGTCTTGCGCTTCCCACACGCAACTCCAGGCAACGGAGCAGACTTGTCACTTGGAGGTGTCGCAGCTGGTGTAGTCACGACCACGTCATTGCAAAGCGCAGGGTCCTCAGCAGCCGCCGTAGCTTTGGACTTACGCCGTTGGCGCTTAGCCTTCCTCTTAGCAGCGCGAACCGCACGAAGATGCATCACCAACTGTTCTTCACGAGCACCACCATCGGCACTCGGAGCTTCAGCGGGCATCCCAGTGTCCGTAGCAGGTGGGGCCACCGGTGACGTTGGCCGTAAGAGAACGGCTGTCACTGCAGCAGCAACCGACTGTACGGTCCGCCTGGGCGCTCTCGCCAAAACAGCGGCACGAACAGCTGCTGCGAGCAGCGCAGCCGAGTTTGCCGCCATGGCCCCTATGGCCAGAGCTGGGAGCTACCCTGACCAGCAATCGCTCGAGCCCCTTAGAATAAGGTTTTGGGGGATATGATAGAATAGAGGAACCCCCAAAATAGTATAGGTAATTATTCAGGCCCCTATACTAGTGGGGTATGGTTTCCAAAAAACCGAAAGCCAAAAGCCTAAGCCCTGAGTCCTAGACCCAAAGCCCCAAACCCTAAGCAGGGTTTAGGGTGAAAATGTAGAAGCCGAAATAATTGCCGATAGTATTTGTTAGGGTTTCTTGCTATAGCTATGGTAGTAAGCCCAAAACCCTAAACCCTAAACCCCTAAGCAGACCCTATGGGCACAGACAGGAGCGCCCTGCGGGTATGTAAAGGATGCTATAAGGGTTCGATAAGGTACGCTCGGGTTTAGGCGGTTTAGGGTACAAGGTTTAGGCTTAAACCCTGAATCAAACCCAAGAACCTAAGTCCTAGATCAAAAAACCTGACGCAATGTCTAAACCTATACTCCAGATCCTCAACCCACACCCTCTAGACCCCACACCCCCCCTCCACCCCAAACCCCTAACCACCTAAACCCTTATCCCTAAACCCCTACACTTGCCCTAAACTTCCTAAACACTTCAACCCTAAGCTCTCCTTTCTCAGGGATGCTGCGAAGTGCGGAGTTCCCTGCAACGGTTACAGCCCACAACATGTCGGAAATCCCAGGCCTTGTAGGGTTGAGGGGTTAGGGGCTTAGGGTTGCAGGTTTAGGCGGAGATTTCTCAATTTTTTGCATTTCGAGTCGCTACCCATAGGCCCCATAGTAGTTCCTTTTTGGGTTTACCTTATGGAATTCTAAATATGAACCCTAAAAAGGAACTACTTTGGGGCCTTTAGAATTCATATGAACCCTAAAAAGGAGCTACTTTGGGGCCTTTGGAACTCTAAATATGAATCCTAAAAAGGAGCTACTTTGGGGCCTTTAGAATTCTAAATATGAATCCTAAAAAGGAGCTACTTTGGGGCCTTTGGAATTCTAAATATGAATCCTAAAAATGAGCTACTTTGGGGCCTTTAGAATTCTAAATATGAATCCTAAAAAGGAGCTACTTTGGGGCCTTTGGAATTCTAAATATGAATCCTAAACAGGAGCTACTTTGGGGCCTTTAGAATTCTAAATATGAATCCTAAAAAGGAGCTACTTTGGGGCCTTTGGAATTCTAAATATGAATCCTAAACAGGAGCTACTTTGGGGCCTTTAGAATTCTAAATATGAATCCTAAAAAGGAGCTACTTTGGGGCCTTTGGAATTCTAAATATGAATCCTAAACAGGAGCTACTTTGGGGCCTTTAGAATTCTAAATATGAATCCTAAAAAGGAGCTATGAATCCTAAAAAGGAGCTACTTTGGGGCCTTTGGGTATTGTGGTTCGCATAAGATCCACGTCGGACCCAGTGCAGAGAGACCTGGAATTTGGAGCTTTATTTCCAGCTGCCCTATACTATATATTTTGTACTGCATAATATATACGTACTATATGCTATATGCTATATGCTATACTTATTACATACTATATATCTGAGTATCTTCATGATGTCTTTCGGGTTTTCTGCCCTCTGCCCTGCCCTGCACTGCCCTGCCCGCCTTAAACTCCAAAACTCCGCAGAGCCTTTTGCAAGATACCGCCGCTGACGCCCTATTTCACGGCAAAACCCTGCCCCCTTAACCCGTAAATATTAAGACCTGGAGTAATCCCTTATTCCCGGTTTTAGGGTTCAGGTTCCCGTATAACACCCCTTTAAACCAAAAAGGGCACCCTTGTTATTCCTAGGTTGCTCTAGAATCTCTAGACTCGAGAAAGCTTGGGCTGGGGGATCATCCAAGATTACGACTCTTTTGCAACCTGAGCTCTAAACTCTAAGCACCTACACCCTATACCACAATCCCCTAAATGTAGGAACCTGATTAAGAAACCCTGGGCCTATAACCCCAAAATAGTAGGATTCATATAACGAACCCTCACAAAAGCTCTAAACTCTAAGCACCTACACCCTACTTGGAGGTTCATGGGTAGTTATAAGTCAGGCTATAAGCCCCCTAATATGATTTATATTTATTACTACAGTTATCAATCCCCTGAATTCCCAACTAAACCGCCGCTGAACCCGAAAAGACTCAATGCCATAATACCTGGGCTTTGGAGTACCATAATTTAATACTTTTTTGGGACTTGTTACTTAAAGGGAACCAATTATGAAAACAAAGTCTATGCTTTTTTCTCCCTGGTTAGTTTAAAGCCCAGAAACGGTGTAGGGTTGAGGTTCAGGAACTCCCAACTGTAGTTTAGGGGTTTAGGGCTAGGCTTTTCAGGGTTTGGGGTTTAGGGTTCAGGGTTTGGGATCAGGTTTTAGGGTTGGAGCTTGGCGTTTAGAGTTGAGGGTTTCGGATGTATCGTTTGGGTTTAGTGTTGAGGGTACTTCACTCAAGGTTCCATCAGACTTTATAGGGTTTGATAGTTGATAGGGTTCCACAAGAGTTCCTTGGGGGTTCCTGCTCATCCGGTTCCATAAGGTTCGGTAGAGTTCTATACGAACCTCCAAACTTTTGCCAGGGTTTTGGGGGCTTGCAGCCGATCACGGGGCTTAGTAGCAGGCAGTAGGCTCACCCCATGTGCGGGCTTGAGTGCCCATCGAGGATCCGTATGCGTCGATT